CATCCGGAGGACAAATCGACGATCGACTATCGTGATTGCCGTACAGACAGCGTACATTTTTGGCACAATAATCGGCAGAGAGTCGTTTTATTGCGTGATCACGATAGTCGATCGTCGATTTGTCCTCCGGATGCACCAAAGTCCCCCCTCCCCCCCCCACAAGACGATATATCGCTCATTACGCAGTGTACGTCGTATATATGTATGTATATATATATAAAATCACTCATAACGTAGTGTTGTATATATATATATATATATATATATATATATATATATGTAAATGTGTATATATATATATATATATATGTGTGTGTGTGTGTGTGTGTGTATATATATATATATATATGTAAGTTTTTTGGTCACTACTGAGAGACTGTGTATATTTCGGATCGATGCGAAGAGAGTAATCGCCGATCTCGCTCATGTTGTCACAATCCCCGTTTTCTACCTCTATATTACATCGCCTTAAGTTTAATCTTCGTTCTCGATTCTCCGGTGTTAAGTGTGCAAATAATGAGCCTCCATTCATTGGATTTAGTAATAACGATATCACGATGGGAGGAGAGGGAAGGGGGAGAAAGGGAAAGGCGAAAATCGGCCGTTATTATCGCATCGATCTAATTAGGTACGTGCGCGGGTGCGCGCGTAAAGATAATATGACGCCGCCCTAAAGGCGGCCGATTGAAGATCCTCAGAGATGCGTGCTCTAAAAGTAATATTATGAAACGCGTTTATTAAGTAGCTATTCGTCTGTCGGATCGATCGATTAAATATTGATGCGAAACCTCCTCTTTTACGTTTACCTAGAGAATAGACCATACGAGTTTAGCAAGAATGCACCTTCTTCATGTAATTTGTATGCATGATTGAGAGAGAGGTATGCTTTAGGACCGGTGGCTCTTTAACGGACATTTCACAATTTAACCGAGGTAAGGATAAGACGTAGGTCTACAATGGGCAGTAAGAGTATGCGTATAAAAGGTAAGAGATTAACCAATCATAATCGATTATTCTTCTTGCATTCGAACATGATTGGTCAATTTCTTATTCCTACTTCTTATAAACGTACTCCTACTGCCCATTGTAGACTGTATTTAAGTTATTTGCGGAATTGGGAGAGTTACCTTTTGAAAATAACTCATTGTTGGTTAGCCATTGAAACGTGTAACACATTATCGTCATCGCTATCGTTATCATTACCGAGAAGTAACGAGTCTCCGAACAACATATATGTCTAGAAAACGTCTCAAAGATGTCCCTTAGACGTTTTATTATCTGAAAGACGTTTTTACGACATCTTAACGTTATCAGGGAAATTATTACAATTTCCGTGAACTTTTCTCAGCATAATTTTTGGAAATTTTTCCCTGTTCTTTTTTAACACATTATCGCCTCATTTCCGTTGTGACGTCTAATAACTGCCATCATCTTTACACATGCATGAAAATCGCGATAGTTATCTTCTATGTACAAAATAACAGTGAAATTAACAGTTATACTCGTTGTCGTTACTCGACAAATATTTAATTAAATCGCTTATTAAGAAGTGAAACGCGTTACGAGTGTAACGTGTTACTTCCCAAACCCGCTCATTCGTTCTCTCCTCGACCCTCTGAATCGAGTATTTCCCGGATGTTTCGTCTATGACGTCTCACGTAGATCCGTGTGTGTCCGCATGTATACACATGGCTGTCTAACGCATCTTTCGTACGTACGTTGAACAGTCACGTTTACGCAGATTAAGTATATGTCTTACTGGCACATGTGCGGCGCGCGGGTATACACTAAACTCACACACACGCAAGTTTCTCATCTTGACACACAATCTTCTTTCGTTTTTTAAAGTTTTAATACTCGGTCGCGCTTAACGTTAGAGGAAGAATGCTTGCTCTCGCTCTCTCTCTCTCTCTCTCTCTCTCTCTCTCTCTCTCTCTCTCTCTCTTTCTTTCGTTCTCTCTATCTATCTTTTCGTTTAATGCCATGATAAAATGCAACGATCACATGTCTCCTAATATAAGGGACCATTTTGTGTGTGTGTGTGTGTGTGTGTGTGTGTGTGTGTTGTGTGAGTGTGTGTAATGTCAATGTGTTACACGGTCTGAGATGGTAGATAAGCGGTAAAAAAATTCACAAGATGTCTCAAAATCCGTGTTATTGTTTTCTATCTCTCGCGCGTTCCTTCTCGAAGAATCGCGAATCCCTACGGGTTATTTAATACATACTTCTTTCACCCTTCACTACCTATACCTACACGTAAATCTATACTTTTTACATACGTATGTACAAGCGTTTTGTTTATCGTTATATAAAAAGACAAATACACACATCGTCGACACAAGATTAATCGTAAAACTGCACCGAGCCCGAGAACGCTCGCGTCCTGAAGAATGTGCGTTCTCATCGCGACAGGAGAATACCGTCCGAATATCCCGCGACGCGAGGAATTTCAGTATTGAACCAATCTTCGACAAGTGACTGCGCGACTTTCCGTAAGTTTATACGTTCACGGCGATTATCAAGTGATCTTCGTTGGGTCGAGTCCCCGTCGTGGAATACCTATTAACCCGTTCCAAGAAAAGAGTTACGTCGAGTTATGCTGCAATACTGAAAGCTGAGATCGATTTACGCACATTTTTTTACCGGCGTAACAGCCCTAACGTGTCGTACAACTAGCCTGTTGAAATTTTCTTAATAGCACGCATATTAGTTAAATTCTTTATTAATCGCTCGAAGACGCAGGAATGATGTGTCAAAATGACAACTGCAACAGTTTTACCTTCAAAAACAATTGTTCTTTCTAGCTGAACTGGCCGCATTAGTTCAAGAAATTACGCACACTGAAGCGTGAAAATCTCATATGTATGCACCTTTCATACGCTTCAATGTGTATGTAAATTTTCTGAATTAGTAGCCAACTGAGTTAAAAAAAAACATTATATGTATGTGTAATTGGAAAATATTAGTAATTATACTACATGATAACGCTATTATGCCGGTTTGTGCACAGTGGTGGGCCAAAACGGTTTAGTCACACTGAAGTTGGAGGCGACGGTCATTGGACTGCACTGCGCCTAAGCCGTTTCGCTCCCCGCCGTACAACTTCTGCAATCGAAACGACGAAGATCGAGACCGATAGCACGCAACGGAACCGGACTATCCGCTAGAGCGTCCCGCTTCGTCACACCTAATTAATTCCAGTTCGGTAAAAGGAGAATCATTAGCTGCACCAATATGGTAACAGATGCGAGAGAGCTGCCATTGATACCCGTACTAATATTTCATCTGTGTCTCTTAGGGTTTATGTCCACGATGCTAGATCTCGGATCAAGATCTAATACTTATGTTGGTGTATGCTTGAAAGGTACTAAAATGTTAGTAAATTTCCAGCAGTTTCTAGTAACTTTTATATCCGGCCAACAACTCGGCCTGACATCGTGGACGCAAACCTTTACAGACGGTAGAATGTGTCACCGTAGTAAAAACTGCGACGGGCGCACGTGTGAACAGTTCTACAAGTCAATCACAGTTTAAGGACACACATGTTGCACTGGGAACAAAAGAGAGCGCGAGTTGCGGAATGAACGTTACCGCATACTCTGTTCGAACGAAAGGGAACCACACGTGTACGACATTTTGATGTCACACGACTTCGAAAACGCGATCTTGGAAGACGCCTGTACTTTTTTTTTCCTAACCGACGCGTTAAGCCCATATCATATTAGCGATTGTCGATTGCGTCTGTACTTCTTGATCAATCAAATCGCCAGCGGCTCTTTTTCGATCCAAGGGACGATCGTAGGCGAGGGCGCAGATATGGACGCAATTAACAATTGCTAGTGTGATACTGGCATCACACTACTCGGATCGTCATTGCTGCTCAGAAAGGTGCTCAAATCACACTGCCGATTAAATTGACGATTATAAAATAGAATATTTTCTAGACAGCCCAGTCACTAATCTCAATCAGTGGCTGCTTTGCTCTGATTGGTTGATGAGTAATCGCCAACCGCGGTCCAATCCGCAATCGCTAGTGTGATTTGGCCTTAACATCCGATACGCAAAGATGAGACTGGTATGTGAGGCTCTACAATATCTAATCTCGCTGGAACGTGGTTCGCCTATTCTAGAAGTTTCTCGCTGTTAAAATGCACAGACAAATAATATATATACTGCAGTATTTACAAATGAATCCTCAAAGAATAGAACTTTTTGCCAACACCCACTCTCACTGACAACGCTAACGAATAATCGCTGATCCATTAATCGAATCAACGGAATGAGACGTTGCTCGCAAATGGAAGTATAGTTTCACCCCCTCCCCCCTTTAGTCTCAACGACTCGAGAGGGAGAGACTCGGTCGGGACGCGTTTACTGAAAAAATGCAAAATCGGTCTCGTCAAACGAAACGTATGAAGCGTGAATCGCGAAGAAGAACACGTATCCGATGACGATTAAGTCGAAATATATGGCCGTGCGCGTAGAAAACGCAACATCATATAAAACTAGACCATAAGATCTCTAATGCCACCTTATACAACAACAGATTAGTGCTGCCGTAGTACTGTAAAAACTCTCGGTACCCTGTCGCTAATGGTAAAACCGCACGGTATGTACACAGAGAAGAACACAGTGAGACCATCCTATGGCACGAAGACGTGAAGTACTGTTACTGTGTGCCATGTGTATCGGCTCTGCACGGCGCACGGAGGAAGAGGAGAAGACGATGCTGTCTCCGTGAGTGCGTAGTGGGGCTCGTCGATTCGCCGGCCGCTCGCTCCCGATCATCAAACGTCCACCACGTCGTTGTTGTTGTAGTTGAAATTTGAGTCGCGCAGGAATGACGTGCGACGGAGCTTAAAGCTGAGACGGCTCTCCTCAGCCATTCTCGGCACTTCCGTTACCACCTACGATCCGTCAGTGCGTATTTTAATCGTACGGTTCCATGGTTTTCTCACGGCTGAGACCTTGACGCGACAGCGTTGATGTGTTGCTTGTTAGAATTATCGCATATTGTTCGGCTTCACGCGGGACAAAGTAATCATAAAATAATATTTCGCTAAAAAAAGGCATGCGATTGCGGACTTTATGTCACGTAGGTGGCTGACCGTATGCTGTAGAAGCGGTCACGAAAAGGTTGAGGTATTTTTTTTTTCTTGGTGAGTTTTGCAACATATCTCATATCCAATAGGAAAATGTATTCCCTGAGAATTATTAATGAACAAATTCTCCTATTGGACGTGAAAAGCGTTCCAAAATTTATTAAAAAAAAAAAAGTGCTGCAACCTTATTATGACTGATCATATATGCACATATACACCATTTCCTAGAAGGAAAATTATACGATTTTTAATCTTATACGTAACCCATCAGATTGAAGACCGTACAAATAACTCTAATTATAATGAAAGTGTTATAATGACGTTAATATGTTATAATGAAAATGTTATAATGACATAATGAGTCTAATTATGACGGTTTTAATCTTACGTGTATAGATGTAAAGCTGAAAATTGCATAATTTTTGATCCAGGAAATGATGACAGCATATGACGACATGATATATATGACGCCGACTGTACAATGGAATGCAAAATGGTTTGGACGCAGTGGAATGCAAAACGATTTATACACAGTTAAATTCAGAGCATAGCCAATAATCCAATGAAAGAACTTACTTTTGACTAATTCGTTCTCTCTCATTGGACCGTTCGACTGCGCTCTGAACCTGGCTACGTCCAAACCGTTTTGCTTCCCGCTGGCACTATACGTAAAGAAAAGAGAAAAAAAATCAAAAAGATACCTTGGCGTCCGCTCGGTCGACAGAACGCTGAAGCAACGACCGCCATGCTGCAGGTGCGGTATGCTCTAAAATAATAGGTTCAGCGAGGTTCGTACATTCGAGGAGTCCACATGCATATTTCAGTGCTATACTAAAAAATAAAAATAACGGGGGGAGGCGGGCGGGGGAAAGGGCGTAATGAAGAGATGCGCGCTGATCGATGTATAAGAAGAGCGTGAAATCACGAACTGTGAGTAACACCACGAGTCGCTAGAAATGAACCATGCGATACGGGACAAACAAGCGCGCCCGGAGGACGAGGAGAACCAAGATCTCGGGGAAAAGCGGCGCTTACCGTTCTCCTTCCTGTCCGCCTTACTCTTGTTCAGGCTGGCCGCCAGTTCCCTCACCGATCTCTTCTCAACGCTGTTGTTACTCAACGAGCTCGCGGTGCTGCTCGCCGATAACGTCGGCGGCAAGGAGGCTGGACCGCTGACACCACTGTCGGTAGACTCGTCGAGAGCGTCGCCGGAATCCGGTGTGTTGCCGGCCGAGGTATTCGGGCTGGAGCCGTCGCTCAACAGACTGAATTCACCTGCAAGGAGCACGAACACGATGAAGTTCTTGTCTGTTTTTTCTACGGAATGAATTCTTCATCGTGNAGAGAGAGAGAGAGAGAGAGAGAGAGAGAGAGAGAGAGAGAGAGAGAGGCCGATTACAGATGTATGTAGATTATGTACACACACATATATATATATATATATATATATATAATGCATATTATTATTACAGGACAACGTTGAATATCGCGACTATTAAAGTTTTTATACATGGCCATTTTCAATAATTAATAACTCAAAATTTTGCCTGTTCTTTGCAAAATGGTAGGACTTTTTTCTTCATCTCTATCCGTTCCACATCCTCACCAAGCTTGTCCATGTTGATCTGGGATGCTCAGCATACACTCACAACATACACACGCTCGAAGATATTTCGATAATTCTCGATAATTTCGGAAACTAAACTTACCAGATTTCCGATCAGTAGTCATGCTCCACGGCCGCGGTTTAGGAGCTGTCGCCGGCGGGGTCGGCTTGTTCTTCAACAATGCGCCGTTGCTCTTCCCGTCGCTCGTAGACCCGCTGCTCTTCGCCAACGGCTTCAGCACCGGAGACTTAGCCGAGTCGGCGGTAGATATGCTCTTGACGCCGCCGCTGCCGTTTATGGGACTCCTCAGATCGTAGCCGGTGGAGCGTAGCTTCACAGACGACTTGTCCGTGGTGTCAGTGGTGGACTTTTTCATGACGCTCTTGCGGCTGTCCTGCTCCTTGGACAGCGTTAGCGACGTGTCTCTGTCCGACGTGCTCGCGAAGCTGTCGTCGATGTCGCGCGAGCCGCGCGGACTCATGCTGGAGACGTTCGTCAAGGTGCTGCGCTTAGAATCATCGCTCGCGTCGTTAAACGCGCCGCTGTTGCACATTTCCTTCGCGAAGGAGTCGCCTTTCGCGGTGGACCTCTCATGGGACTGGGCGCTGTCGGTGGTGTTGCGCCGGGCGAGCGGCGATGCGGTCAGCGGTGAGTCGCCCTGAGACCTTCTGCCGACCAGAGGTGAGAATTTTTCCAGATTGTCGCTGGACCGTGAACGCGGCGCTGGTTCTAAGAGCGTCTTCAGCATCGGCGAGTTGCAGCTGTGCTTCTTCTCCATGTCCGGCGGGATGCTCTTGTGGCTGGTCAACGACAGATTAGGACTGCCGTCTGTCGGGAAGGTGTGCAGAGAGCTGCGAATTGCAGATAAAAATTGACAACTTTATGAACTATATGAACTAAGGTGATTCAGTGACTGGATGGTAGCACTGGTATTTTTACTAAAATTTGAAGAAATGTGTTTGGAAATGTGCGAAAGATCACATCTTTCGTTGATTCTGTGTGCAGGAAGTAGAAAGAAACGAACCTGTCGTCACTCGTGGGTGATATCAAAGGCGTGGTCGGTGTGGTCGGTCGGAAGAACACGTCGAGACCTTCGCCTAGGGCGAGACCGTCGATCGGCTGATCCGGCCGTAACATCGGTCTCGTGGGTGCTCTCGTCTTCGTTCTGCGCGGCCTGGACTTGACGAGGTGCTGAAGTTGCTGACCTACGGTATTGGGCAATTCCGAGACGGAGTCCAGAGACTCTGTCAACGAGTGCTCAGTTTCCGAGATGGCTGTATAGCGACAACAGACTCATTACAACACGCTCGTGACAAACTCGCCGACGGAAGCTATAATTAATACGAACCTTCCGCTTGGCTTTTTGGCAGCGACGGCAAGAGATCCGGGATATCGTCGGCGGACAAACCCTCCACCGAATCCACCACGGATTTAGGTCTCAGTTTTCTTCCATGCAGACTCTTACGCTTATTCGATAGATGCGGCGTCGCCTGATTATCGAAATAAAGACATTGTAGATTCCACAAGACAGATCGTATTATAGTGACAGTGAATGAAAGGACATAATTATAAAACGTATTGCAATATCACATTCAACTGTAATTATACTTGTGTGTTTATATGTACTGTGTACACCTACCAGATTAAGGTAGTCCAACTTCTGGAAGGTGAGCGTGTAAAATGGAGGTAGCGATTCGATTAGAATGAAGATAATGATCTTAGAATGATTTAGCTTCTCGTTGCCGTCGATTTTTAACTCTAAATTGCTTCGTCTTTAACTTATACAGGGTGTCCCATTTTAATGGAAACAGTGGAAACTTTATTCTGATATTTTTCAGTAAATACGAAATATCTCATTAAGTACTTTACTTTTCGATAACATCATCTTAATACTTTTCTACAATATTTCTATAATATGAAAAAATCGATTACTGATATTTCAGTTATATAATCATTGCACATTGATGCATCTCGATGCATTTGAATAACGCGATTATTTTATTTCTCTATGTTTGCTTACACCAATCGATTCCACGTGTCGTTCTACATGCAAAAGTGTTAAGATTAAGATGATATTATCGAAAAGTGAATACTTTATGAAATATTTCATATCATGTACTAAAAAATATCAAAATAAAAAGTAAAATATCTCGAGAAGTATTCACTTTTTGATTATCTTATATCAGTATTTTGATACGCAGAATGAACAGGGAAATTGATTTATGTTAAAAAAAGAACTATATGATTCCATTAAAAAAATAAAGTTGACTTTGAAATGCACGTTGTAGCTCGGTGCCATCATTGGCATCACTGCTTTAAAGTAGAATAACTGATTGAAGATCTGCCAACAGCGAAATGTTCAAAGATTTGAGATGCTTACCATCGGCGACTGATCACTGACGCATTGGCCAATGGAATTTGCCAACGAGCATGTTTCAGGTGGACAATCTTCTTCAGAGACGAGACTGGCTCTGCCAGGAGGTAACGTCATAGATACACCGCTCGCGCTAGTCACACCGATCACGCTTCCACTGCTCATCGAGCCGGCACTGGGTCGTAGAACATCCGGTGTGCTGCTCCTCGTTCGACTATCATAATCTCCGATCTGGAATATTTCATTATATTACCATATTGTGTAGTTTGAAACTTATAATCGGGTTATATCAGGTTTCCTTTCGTTATTTATTAAATGTTGATTAGTAAATTTTTCTATTAGAATCAGAAAATTCGACGGCTTGAATATAAAACCGAGAGTTTAAAACTTACCAGAGTTTTATAGCTTCTCGATAATGATTCGATTACTTCATCCGTAATTCTATCGGATATATGTGCTGCGACTGCTAAATTAAGCTCGCTAATTGAAATAAAAAAAGAATAGATTAAAATCATTGAAAGTGGGTCAATAAATGGACATCGACATTATTACAGTGTACTTACTTGACTCTATTAACGATATCTGCGCCAGCTTGTTCGGTAACGGTGGTATGTATGAATTCATTATTGATTTGGTTCTTCTCTTTGCATGTGTTACGAAGATCATCCTGCACCGCGATCGGCTCACTCTCATCGCCTCTGATCACTGTTTGCGAGAGTATAGTAGGACACTGTTCATTCACGCACTTCAGCATCGCGTCCAAAGAATCCTGCATCAATCATTGTTAAAACTACATTATTCCAAATCAAACTAACCTTGTATAAAAATATAATGGCTACTTTGGATGTAGTTTACAATTTATAATCTAATGGGAAAATAATCGAAAATATAAATATAGTAATGCTAATAGTAATGATTATTATATAATTTTAAGGCATTTTTAAAGCACATACCTGTAGATATACCGTCACGACTTTGTGAATTTCATTTGCCATATCGTGTAACTTCAGCTCGATCGGGTTATTTTCGTCCCGTCTTTGCAGTACCTCGTGTAATCTTGGCAATAACTGAAAAATGTAAGGTTCAAATGAGATGTTCTAATAAAACTGTAATCTAACTGTAGTAAGTTTAACAGTTTCAAAATCTAGTAAGTTTCTAGTAAGTTCTAGAAGTTCCATCAAGTCCCAGCATGATAATACCTTATCTTCAGCGGGATAATACGATACAAAAATGAGCCTAGAAGAATCAAGTAAAAAATTCTTCGAATTTCTTCGTCCTGCACCTGTTTGGAATTATCCGCGTCCTGTATAAGTCCGGTCGCGTAATTGATGTCGTTATTAGCGTCGCAGCTCTCAGCAGCCAAAGCCTTGATGGTGTCCTGCGTCTGCACGACGAGCCTGTCGACCATCTGTTGCGTGGAGCTCAAGAGAAATCCTTGCTGCAATCTGAACGCCTGCCCATGGCTGTACTTGCACGGCGTTACGTTCCTCTGTAGCAGGTCCTGTATCTTCTTGGCCAGTTGCTCCGTCTTCTCTGCGGAAGTCTTCATGCAAGGCTGTAGATCGTAGATCGGGAACGGCATGTGCCGCACGCTGCAGTTTCTGCAAGAGTGGATCTTGGTAAATACACACGGCGCATTCCTTCCGTTATACGACGACGCAATACACACTTCTCCAGAGCGTGGACGATGTCCGCATAGCCCTGCAACGTGATGTTGTTCTTGTCGTATATGATGGTCCGCAGGTGATTGTTAATCTGCAACGCTTTCGCCAGCAACCTCGCGCCAGGATCGCCTATCTGGTTGCCGCTGATGTCGAGGGTGTGCAGGCACGTGTTGCTGCCGAGAGCGTTGATCAGATTATAGAGGTCGCCCTTCAGCCGGGAATCGGGCAGGTGCAACGCTTGGAGCACGCAGTCGTCCTCCTGAAGCATCTGCACCAGAGCGTCCATCACCACGGCTATGTGCTTGCTCTTCATACTGGCGGTATTGCGGCCCATATACAGCTGCTTTATCGATTTGTTTTTACCCACGGCCGTCACGACTTGCGCCAAATCCACGTCCATATCTGCAGGAGAGCACACGCGTGACGGACGGCAAATAGCGAGATCGACTCTTGCAGATGAATGACCGGCTTAGGTCTGATCCTTATAGCTGCGATAAATTACAATGTCCAAATTTAACGTGAAGTAGATAGTAGTAGTATATATATACAATGCGTGCTTTCGATTTAGCCTTAGGAGGATCTCTACATTCACCCGCGTTAAAGAACATAGTCGTTTACGCCAATTTTTACAGTATTGTAAGTTGCGTTATTTTTACGTTGAAAATGTGGTCCAAACAGTATCGAAACGTCTGTTGTAAATACATAATTTACCAAAAAGAGAATTAGTATTTGGTTCCTTTGCGTACTTATTTATTTCTTGCGCTGTACTCATATGGGTCTATCCAATTTTATCTTTGTTTTTTCAATCAAAGAACCTAATTTATTTATATATAGAAAATAGAAAGATTACGAGATCATTCAAAAAGTGGAGCTTTAAAGAACAGACCTTTTATTCGTTTCAACACACGCAACATTACGCACTGCTGTCCGATATATCCAACGACGCTATGCATCGAACCCCATGAATGCACGACTCCAGAACGTGGGCGCCCATGGAGCCCAAATTGTTCCCGCTCATGTCGAGCTCTAGGCCAACTGTGCTTTCGTTGCACGCCAGGCCGAGTAGCAGGTGCTTCAGCGCCTCCAACGGTAGTTTGCAAGAGGATATATTTAAGTACTTCAACGAGAGGGTAGCCGTGAAGAATTGCTTAAAACTCGGAGGTATCTCTTTGGTCTTCTTGCTCGAAAAGGAATTCCGGGCAACGTTTAAGTGGACTAGATTAGTTGCACAACCCCGTAGCAATGCACCGAATAACTAAATCGAGGATGATCGCAAAGGAGAACGAAGGTGATTAAGTGTCGAATATTTTGGCTTAGGGATGTTGTGATACTACTGACATAATACTGGTGTCGATATTATTCTTTCAGTACCGGATATTTTTGTGTTGATATATTCTTTCGATATTCGCGACTTAACACATCCTTTTTAAGATTTTTAGATCAAACTATAGAAAGTTTACTACAGAAGGTAGAAGTATCTTTATACTATAGTAAGATTATACATGAAAGTACGGAACCTTCATAAAAGTAGCTTGCAAGACAGATATTTCCTTGATGTTTATATTTCCTCTAATTTAAAATTTTTTTAAGTTTCGACACCAGTATCGATATCGATATTTTTGTTCTGATACTAGTATCACCAATTATATCGATATTATTGACTAAATAGCCGTTTCAATATTAGTATCAATATTTTCATGGTATTGCAACATCTCTACTTCGGATAGGACGCTCGGAACGGGAAAAATACTTACGCATTCTAAGGTAGTGTCCGTACCGCTAAGGTCCAGGTGCGTTAGACTGTTAGGTTGCGCCAAGAAATTGCACAGATTCTGCAATTGGAAGATACAGGTTAGTGTTTTCATCGCGATTGCGGATTGCCGAGTAACTCCGGTACTCATCGAGATCGCACAGACGGCTGATTCTCCTCCATAGAACTACTTACATTGATGTCATCTTTCAACGTGTTCTCCGAGAAATTCAGATATCGCAAGCTAGTCGGCATGCTCCTGTTCAAGCTTAATGCATGCGCTATCTGGCCCACACCCTTGCCGGTTAATCCACAATGGGCCAGGTTCAACTTCTGCAAACCCTTAGGTAGTTTGCCGATAGGACCGCTCAGATGCGTGCCACCTTGAAAATATATCGCACACCTTTAGCAGCGCGCGGCGGACGTTCGAAATTGCGCTCGGAAAGTATTTACTCTCGATTACAGATCACGAGCCGGATCACGGAGTTTTATGTGTTAATGTATTTACAAGGGTCAAACATCCGGGGTACTATATCATTGTAACTAAAAGAAAAGCAATGGGAGTAAGAACCGAAAATCAACAGATAAAAGTGCATATTTAAGGGTAAACTAGATGTAAGAGAGAGAGAGAGAGAGAGAGAGAGAGAGAGAGAGAGAGAAAGAAAAGAGAGAGCGAAAGAGGCCGTATATATCGAGTAGATTAGTGGTATAATTACTAGGGATAATAAAGATACGTGGTTATTGGCACACCTTGCATTAACTTGGCTATTATCCCACACAAGCTAGAGGCTCCTACAAAAAATATAAAGAAAATTCGTTCAGGATACTTTCGAAATTAATAATCGGCAAAGTGTTGGAAAATGGAGAGATGTCTCTTAATGGGTACACACACGCGCACGAACACTCGCACTTGGATATACACATACATACACACACGCGCACGTGTACAGTGTGATGAATGAAGATACTCGAGATGCAGAAGCGATACGATATAAATCACTGTGAAGTATCGATTAACATGTACCTTTGTCCTCAATCGTATTGTGCGACAGATCTATCGTTTGCAGCATCGTGTTAGCATTAGAAATTAAGGCCAACGACAGCTTGTGAGCGAAATCCCTTAAAACCGAATATATTCGTAAATTATGAGTGCGCATTTTAAATAGACTCATCCTCTTTGCGGCGAAGCGTACGCGACCCGTTCGTCGAGTCATTACCATTTGATCCCGAGATTGTCCAGATATAGTTCCTGAATGGACAAGGATCTCCGCATTACGTGCAGTAATCGCTCCAAAGGCTCGTGGCTCAACTTGAGGTGGGACGCCCTCAGTTTCGTGAACCATGTGTTGTACTCTAGAGCCGAGATGATCGGCACCAGGTCCTTCTGATCCAAATGATCGAAGTCTCTCAGATTCAGCTCCCTCGTGTCGTGCGACAGGTATATCGTATCGACGTCCTGAAATACGTGTCTCTCTGAGCTAGATTTTTGCGGCGAGTAATCCCCGCTGTGCCGATAGCGAACTGGCGCGAGCAATCCCATTCATTCTCACCCAAGCCACCTCCTCCCTATACGGCACGCCGTGTAGGTCGCACATGCACGCATACTGAGTGGAGAAACCGCCGCACGGACCCGTGTGTCTCGTGGCTTCTGTGCTCCTGGCCAACTCACTGCCTCGTATACTTTGCAATCTGCTAGCTGGTATTACTTCTATCTTTCGTATAATGTAACTGGAAAAAAGACGTGAAGATAATGTGATACGTGTGTGATCAGCGACGTCCGTAGAAGCACTTTGGGGTGTTGTGACACTACTGATATAATCCTGGTATCAATATTTTTTTCTTTAAATAGCGAGTATTTATATAATGATATTTTTCCAATATTCCATATCAGTACTATTTTATTTCGATATCTTTTAGATATCTTTTTTTAATTTTTTATTCAGTCAACTTCCAAGATATCACGTATTTTTGCTCCATGAAAATTAATTACACGCAAGTAATATTTTTAATCCATCTGTTCTCATTTCTATTATGTTGATTTTACGATTACTTATTGTTGAAATAAAAGGAAAGCATCCGGATATTTTTACAAGCGTACGAAGCCGATCACGAGTGTCATTTTGTGCATATATTATTTCATTTCCACGTATTAATTGTTGGTATGCGATTTTTCATTTCTGACGTCGTCAAATAAGGACAGTCATGGCGAAGACTGGAGCCTTAAGACATACTTTTTAAGGTTTCTAAATCACAAACCGTAGAAAGTGCAATGCAGAAGGTAAAAGTATCTTTATACTATAATAAAATTATTATGCGTAGACGTATGAAACACTTATAAAAGTAGCTTGCAAAACAAACATTTTCCCGATGTTTATATTTCTTCCAAGTTTTTTCAAGTTTCGACACCAGTATCTGTAACGATATTTTTCCTCTCCTTATGTTATATTTAAAAAGGTGATAAGTCCGCACATCTTCAGTAACATAAAGATCAAACATTAGTGAAGAATCTCTATAATTAATCCGCACGAAAATTTGAATTTATATACTTCACTGATAAGACCCATGACTCGTTATTATAGCCTGTTGTAATTTATTGATCGATGTTTTCTGATACTGAATATTACTACTGACATCAATATTCTTGATCAGATACCCGTTTTCAATTAGTATCGATATTTTCACAACTTGATATCACAACATCCTTAATAATACTCGATCATAAACGAAATGGAACATACTTTAGCGGCACCGTGGGAAAGATATTTCGAATTGCCGTGTGTAAGGCCTCTATCATGGCGTCTACTTCCGTGGTATCCCCGCCTACACTGGTCGTAGTGAAATTGTAATACCGTTCTCCGACAGTCAAACATAGCTGATTCGCTCGTTTGGACTCTATGGCTGTTATCTCTAAATAATGAAAATGGCAGTCGATCTGTGGAGAAATTTAAACAACAGGTCGTTAATCGATCGTTAAGAAAATGAAAGAACCACTAAGATAAGTTGATTGGCTTACCCTTGTGGGTACTTTGGCCGATAGAAGAAAGAGGCGACATGGTGAGAATACCTTGATAAGAGAAAAACCAGTTTGGTTTAACGTGGCATATACAATAATGAAAATACAAAATACAATAACTGTTGCTAAGAAGATTAAAAAAAAGAAAATCTACTTACGAGAACACGATTTTCCTGTTTATCCTGCTTGGTTTCTAGTTTCACCACGTTTTTCAACAGTATCTTCACATGCTTGCCAAGTAGCGCTTTCACCGATTCTGCAAGCAATGAATAATTCACGCGGCTGTACACGTATGACCGTTCGCATTAATAATGTCCAGCGCGCTCATATTCGTGAGGATAACGTCATAACACATGATTCATCGATTCCTCCCTATTATTCCGTACAAAATCAAGCAGCTGAACCATACTATTGACCGTGTAAACAAGAAGATGCGTTTCTCAAAACCGGCCGGATCGCACGTCGCGGTGGAGAACACGCTGGACGAATTGATCGCCGCGAAAAATTCACGTTTCTCGCACTTTTGCGAATTTGTCAAGACACGACGATGCACGGCCGATTAATCACACAACGCGAAAGCAAGAGCGAAACGCATGCGATGCGAGAAACCAAAAGGTACTACACGACGAGAGACACGAATATCATCTCGGATTGACGAATTGACAACTTGGCCAATCTGCACGAAAGAACGTAAACACTTTGCTCCAAATGAGAACCACAAACCGTTCAGATCTTTCGTGAGCTGCGAACGAGTTGACATTTTGCTAGCTGAAGTCTTCCATTGAAGTCCGCCGTTCCATTTAAAGGGAGGCTGTCGTTTCTCGCGCGTCGCCGTTCAGAATCTGTCCGGCGTGAATTAAAGTTTTGTCGCCGCCGGGACAAAGGGCGATGTCACGATAAGACGAGGCAGTGCAGTAGCAGCCATGTTGGCACCTGTCTACTATTGGCCCGCGATAGTCACCAGCGATGATTCAGTGGCGATGGCACGCAACGATGCCTACGCAATAATGTGTAGATATCGCAAGTCTGTTCTCTTCGTCCGCATTCCCTGTACTTCCTGCACTTTCCGCCTGACGTCGGAGTGCGAGGCGAGTGTGCGCGCTGTAACGAGAGCGAGGAGAGAGAAGCAAAGAGATGTGTAGGAGAGTTCAAAACAAACGACGATTTGCGAATACGTCGAATAACGACATATTTTTCATTAGAATTTTCTCGATCAGGGCTATGTTTGGGAACTCTACCTTGAGGGTGGAGCAGGGTGAGTGGTGGTGGAGATAGGGTAGAAATACCAGGACAGAAAACATTGCATAGATGCTCAGCAAATCACAAAAATTGTTTGTATATGCAAAGTAAAACCTTATATAATTCTAATTTTTCAATCCTAATTTTTTTTGCATTAAAGCGTATGTAACTAATTGCTCTATTATTTATCTTTATGCCTACACCTTGTATATGTAATTTGACAACTGTCAGATCACTTACTGCACATGATCGTCAATTCACAGGTTCGCTTCGTCATAAATTTTGTGTTTCGAAATATGAGAAGCAAAAACTGTTGCAACCGTTCTGTGACCATGTGTATGACATTCGTTAACAAATATGTAAAAAGTATCAAATTTTCTCTTTAAAACGTCTGTATCACATTTTTTAATCAAATAATTTTTTGCTCTGAAAACTCAACTGAAAGACGAAAGTTTGAAAATGATTGGTCGTCATTTTTCGTTTAACTCGAAAAATGTTTACAAAAATGAACGATAACATTAATTTAGCTAATGTGGTTAAAAACTAGAGACTTCAAGCTTTAAAGTGCTTTTTGAACGACTTCGATAACATTATTATTGCGTAAAGTACAGCCTGTTGAATTTCGCCTTTGTTTCATTAGAATGGAGAGTATGTCTGTCCAACCCTTGAATCATACTACTTAAGAAATAGAAGTACGCCTGACACTATCGTTTAGTTACATCACGAACTCATTAGTTACATGACTATCTCATTTTCTTTTTATTGAAGATATAAAGAGTGTACAAAAAAGTGTACAAGATCTTAGAATCTATTGCCTATTCGACCTATGAGTGTAGTAGAATTACAGTTAGTGGGAAGGTTTACATATTTCTGGTGTACAAACGATTTTTTGTAATTCTGTAATACATTTGAGTGAGTGAATAAGGAGTACAGTATTCGCTGGGAAGCAGGTAAAGTTTTTTCGATGAAACAAAGATGAATTAAAGAGTAGAATAAATGCAGGAACGCTTCCGCTGGATGGATGCCGAGTGTCCTATCTGTCTCTTTCTAGTTGAGCGCTGTGATTGGTTGTTACAATGAGCCGCCAAGACGACCACGCGACGTCAGGAGGGGAGAAAGCAGACTAAAATTTCGTTTTGTAAATATGCGTGCACATGTGTGTAGAATTAAAATTCGTTAAATATTCGAACGTTAACAAAATAATAATTGGACGCGATTTGTTTAAAAATGAGGCATTGTTTGAAATGCAAGGCGGAGTCTTATCCTGGATGTAACCGCAGTTTTCACTCGTAAGAAAGTACAAATACGTAACCTCAAATAATTATATGTTATTTTTTCCTACATTTAAAAAAATATCTAAATGTTGTAGGCTACCGAAGGATGTAGATATAGGCGTAAATGGTTGAATATACTTCAACTACCTTTGTATTTTGAAGTGAAAAAAGCATATATTTGCAGTGATCATTTTAGCAATGACAGTTTCTTTGAATTGGATGGAGAAAAATGTATAGCTATATCGTCGTTGGCGCGGCAGCGAATCCCAGCGCGTGACTAGAAAGAGACAGATAGGACACTCGGCATCCATCTCTCTCTTTGCCTCTATCACTTCCACTTACAGGTAGCATATATCCCTTGTTCCCTCTATTCTTATATCTCTATGGTTTCTCGTTAAGTATAGTGGCGGCTCGTAGCGGAGAGTCTAGAACTAAATTACAGAAATAACGGGTCTAATAATTTCATAGATCTGTTATTTTTAATTGTGTAATAATCTAAAACTTTATCGCTCATTGGCTCTTACCTATTCTTTTGATAATTAGTCGTAATTGGTCAATTTGATTATTGTCTACGTTTAAAAGTACCAAATATGATAGTCACGAGATAAGATATAAAACAAGAGATAATAAACATAGAATGACGTCAGAGTGTTGATATCATGTCCTCTAATGCATCTAATGATTATGCAATGATATACTTTATATTGCCGGGTGTACAGCGGCGTGGTAGGTGGTGGCGAGGCAGATACACCGCCAGCAGTCGTACGACACTCAGCGGTAATTATATTTTCAGTTGTTACATTCTCTTCTTTTGTATGTGATATATGCAATAGTATAAGTTTTTTTAATTCTGCTTTATCATGTGATCGCAATATTAGTGTTATATTTGTTTCTATAAGGAATTGTGCGTTTTCCATTCGGCCATTTTATTCTTCATCATCAGCTAAAAATGACAAATTACGTATTTAAGATATATATTCTTTCGTGTATATTAATATATTCGTCTACATCCTCGTGCAATCTCGAATGTGTAGATAAAATGTTACTTTTTTTTAAATATATTTCCTCCGATGCTTTTTAAACATACGATACGAAACAAACTTCAGTGTGACTAGAAGGAAGATAGCTAACAATATAAATGTACTTAATGTGCAGAAACATAAGATAAATATATGGAAAGAACAAACTTAAAAATGTCTTGTGTAAAATGAACAGCGACGATTGTCATCAGCATTCTACACACAAAATGATTTTTGTTTTTTTCTTGAGAGAAAATATAATTAGCTATTAGACGCATTGCCTATTCAATTTAACCTTTAGAGGGCCGGAAAGCCAATATATTGGCGCTACCCATGATCGATATTTAGTGTATGGTCAATCCATGATATAAGATACCTTTTTTACCACTTTACTAAGGCGGATATGTCCTCTCAAATCCCGGCCCTCTAAAGGTTAAGAGGAGTTATTTTTTAGGCAATTTGTTTCTTGTTCCATCTTTTGGAAGTTTCAAGAATCAAAGTTATTATGTCTGTCTTGAAAGAGATAAGCAGAGATAAGCAGAGATAAGCAGAGATAAGATATACTTCAACATAATGCATAATGCATGACGTGAAGTGAAGTCAAGGCTATATTTACCAACAGTTTAGTTTGCAAGTGTTGAAAGTTTCCTATGTTGACATTGAATTATTCCTGTAGATTTAAAAGAATAATCCAATCTCAGCTCAGAAAACTTCCAACAATTGCAAATTAAACGTTTTGCTGAACGTGGCCAATACTTTATTTTCACCATACTTTATTTCCATCATGAGGATAGAAACATAGAACTCTGATTGGTTTGTTATGTTATGCTGATGCATGCATAAATGCATCATGTCCAATTATATGCTTCCCATTATAGAAGGAAATGTAGATAAGTAGGAGAAAAAGGAAAATGATATATAGTAAAAAATTAGTATTGGCTATCAGATCTCTATGTCTGATAAACTTCAACTTGTCATTATTATTCCCCCGTTATCATTTATACTATTTCAGTCTTGAATAACTTTCTAAAGTATTCACTGATTATATTAAAAGTAGAGTGAATATTGTCGTACTATAACTTGCTATAAAAATCGTCTGATTTATTAAAAATATTCAGTTAACTTTTCAGATTATCATCTTGAGCCAATCTGATACTCTCTTCATCGCCATGGCAAGTTTAAAAACGATAATCAGAGGAGGTCAAATGTGTCTGAAGAGGTGTTACGCAACTGGCTCACAGTTAGTTGAAGTAACACGAGACAGTGACACAGGTGATAGTTATTGCTATTCTTCACACACATATTCTTAAGATATAACTCTGTCGAGTTTTATTTTAATAAATTCTCTCAATTATTTAACAGGAATCGATATTATATCTATGGCAAGGGCACCAGTTAACAGTTTAAATACAGAGCTACTAAACTCACTGAAAGCATCTCTATTGGAAGCGAAGAACTCACGTAGCAAAGGTGTCATATTGACGTCGTCCTTGCCAACTATATTTTCAGCGGGAATAGATCTCATGGAGATGTATAACGCTGATAAAAATAAACTCGCTACCTATTGGCAGGCGTTGCAAGATGCTTGGCTGACCCTATATACTATGGAGGTTCCAACAGTTGCTGCAATCAATGTACAAATTCTCAAACATATTCCTACTCGTGTACCCGTGTGACACAGATACATTACTCTATCATTTTGCACAGGGTGCCAGTCCTGCCGGAGGTTGTCTGCTTGCAATATCTACTGAGTACAGAGTTTTCGTTCAAGGCAAACATTCTATTGGACTGAACGAAACGCAATTAGGTCTCGTCGCCCCGAAATGGTTCAGAGATCTGTATATCTCGTTGTTGGGCTACCGAAAAGCCGAGCTTGCGCTATTAAAGTATGTAAGATTAAAGAATATGCGTGATATACGATAAATTGCGATAAGGCACTTCAAATAGATAATTCTCATATTCACAGAGGGTCACAATTTAAAGTCGAGAAGGCATTGGAAATCGGTCTCGTGGACGAACTAGCTAAAGACAAAGCGGACGCTATTGAAAAGAGCAAAGATTACATATTATCTTTTGAGAATATACCAAGTAAGTATGAGCTTCATTATTGTGTGTCTCACATATCGTTATACTTGTATACTAATCAAACGTTATTGTATGAAAGAACTTGGCAGGACTCAGACCAAGTTAGCTATGCGAGAGAACCTAATCGAGTGGTTTAAAAAAAATAAAGAGGCTGATACTGAAGTCTTCGTAAATCTGATACAATTGCCAGAGATACAGAATGGCCTTAAACGTTACATCGAGTTTTTAAAACAGAAGCAACAATAATTACTTCGGTGAGGGAAGATATTCAGATTTTATATTCTTATATTAGATTTTGTATTCTTGAATAGTGCCTTTGTATGCAGATTTTCATGGTTTTACATAAATATATATTTTGACTTTGTTACTTGAAACTTACGTTTCTGTTATGAATTTTATCCCGTGTCCGCGTGTGCGTAGCCGGAATGTTGTACGTTGATCATCAGTTTTACAACATAGCGACGTCATCCAGTTCAATGTCTGTTATATTTAATTGCTGCGGTACACTGAGCGTATTAAATTCTTCTTCTTGCGATCTGAAGAAATGCGATATTTCCAATATATGCTGGCGACACCGTTTGGTTTCATTCCTATTCATGAAAAAAAAAAAAAGATCGTGTTTCAGTGAAATCATTAAGCCTTCTCATATCTTGATTTTGTACATTAGTAAACATAGACGTAGCCAGGATTTCAGTCAAGAGGGGAGAATAAAAAATTTATTTGCACACGAAATTTGTCAGCATAAACTCATTAGCATATTTATATTAACCTTTATTTTTAAACTATTTTTAACCTATTATTTATATTAAAGCCAGTCTTCGCGGATATTCAGTAAATTTTTTTAATCTTTTCGCTGATAGTACTTAAATTGCACAATGGGATAAAAATGTGCAGCAAATAACTAATAAGTCAGTCGTGACGAACATATATGTGCAAAACATTGAAGTCGCTGAAACTGAGAAACTGCTATTAACCCTTTGCGGACGACGACTTTTTCGGCCGGGTGAGATAGCAGGACGAGGCGATTTTCGCAGATGTGTCGAGTGTCTTTACATGAAGCTTTCCGTTTAGCCGAATTTCGTCAGAATTGGAGGTTGATCTTGATGTGTCATTTCACGCTTCGTAGAAAGAACATCAACAGCTAAGGAATCTTTCCAAGAACCAATAATGCGTTCCTATTGATTGGAGGTAACGTAATCTACATAAACACCAACTGTCGCCTCTCACTCGCCATTCGTCCTGTCGCGCGAAACGCCGTGGCGACCGAGAGTCGCCTCTCGTCCGCAAAGGGTTAAAATTGATAAATTCAAATGACTGATCTATTTATAACGACCAACAGGATGAAAAAGATGGAAGAACAAAAAATTATTTATTTCTTTTACTCAATCAATAGTTTTTTTGCAAAATGTAATTTTTTTGCAGATTGTAATGTATCGAGATAGTTTAAACCGGAATATCAGCTATATTTCTTCACTTTTATGATTTTTACAATTGTTTCTCTTTGTCAAAATTTAAAAGTAAGCCATTTAAAAACGCCCCCCCCCTTCCTCTCTTGACTACGCCTATGTTATCAAGTCATACAATAAAGGTGAGGTCCATTGTGTGGAAAAAAACAGTATCAAGTTATATGATTTTAAAATATTCACCACTTACGTTATCAATTGACCGATATATTCTTTGAGCCAATCATCGAGCCGATTGATCATGCGTCGTTCCCGCTTATCTATAATCTGAATCGATAGATCAGTGAGTTGCTCTAATCGTCCTGAACAATTTCCAAGTTATTTATAATATATTCACCTGCAAATGTATATCATGCGACGTGGCAAGAGTAAACGCCAAAGTGTCCTTATCGCCGCACTGATTTATCAGGTGAACCGGTACGCTCGCATCCTCGCAAAAACCACTTATGTGACGTAGAACTGCCATATTCAAGGAATCGTTATATTCAGCTTCTGCGTCTCGCAAACGTGAGAAGATTAAACGAGCAGCTTCCAAGAACGAGTTTACTATATCTGTCATGTTCGTCTTGAAGACTTTGTTTAGCTCCTTTTTTTATTAAAATTAAAAAAATTCTAAATTTAAATTTAAAAAGAAAAAATTAAACTGTTAATTTAACTCGCGATATTTTTCGTAGAATGAATTAATATACGCGCTTACTTCCAATTGTTTGTGTAACACGAGTTCTTTGGACATTAGCCGATTTCGTGTGTTTTGTAACAGATAATTGAATTCGTTGAATAATCGCTTTGTTTTCTCAGCGATTTCGCCAGCCGCATCGCCCTCCGCTTCTATCAGAGCTTCCACTGCATCCTTTATATCCGCAAATATCACTATCTTCCTCTCAAGCATTTCATCCACAATTCTTATATATAAGATTTAAAATAACATAAGTTAAAATAAATACCACAGAGTTTTAAATGCCACGTAAATTAAAATAAACGTGGACCGCAGGTCCACATTAAATTCTGATATTTCATCCTTTACTTTCTCGATTCGTCTTGCATATTCTCCTCGCTTTCGTTAACAGCAACCTCAAACGGTAGTATTACTTCGGTTCTCTTCTTATGTTCTTGCAAACCCAGCTCGCATAATTCGTTGCATATCGCGGAAAAGGATTCTCTGTATTTCTCAAATATCTCCTGCGTTTCTTTAGTTATCCTATTGAGAACCTTGCCATCTAACGCGACATAATACAATTAGATGAGTTATATATTCATACACGATAATATTTTATTTTATCTGCTCCAACTGTGCTTATAATTATGTTATTGTATATACAAGGTGCTGCGAAAATTGTTCAATATGCAACGTCTATCGGATGGAACGAGATGAGCTTTATTACATTCGAATCATCTTGCGCTGTTCAATAGATGTTGCGTATTGTAAAACTTTCGTAGCAGTATTGTAGTAGCAGTAGTAGCGTATTGTAAAACTTTCGTTCCTATGTAAAATAACCACAAATTACAAGTAAAATAAGACATGCATGATACCCTTGTCAGAAACAAACATTTCCTGGAAAAGATAATCTTTGTCGAGATACTCCACGTACGACGCGGTTAACAACCTGAGCTTCTCCTCGAATTCTTGTTGCAACGTGATTTCCGCTTGCTTCTTCGCCTTTATCTCCTCGAGATTACAAATTACTCGGCTGCATAGATGATTGAGCATTACTTTCTTGCAACGCGAAATGCCTGTGTATCTAGAAAAATCGTCCCGACTTCGAAGAGACAATAATTACTAGTGTTTTTCTATGGCGGACTGTCGCGCATCCTCAGGTATCATCCTGTATTGATAATAAAGCAGCTGCGGTATAAACGCGAACACATAATCCGTGTATCCGTCGATTTCGGCGCAAGGATTTTCGCACATGTTTAAGCTCCGTAGAGCCTTGAAATCGCGCAAGTATGCAACCTACGGCGATAAAATATCACGATAAACGAAGAAATAAAAAACGGAAGTAAGAAGAGATGAGAAACACCGGTTGTATGTATGTACGTACATGCTCCCAGTTGGCGATTTTATTTTTGCCGATGTTCAAGATAGTCAGTTTGCTCAAATTATCTATACCCTGTACAACGGTGATTTCGTTACTGAACAAAAGCAGAATCTCCAGCTGTGCGAGATTATTTAGATTCTCCATAACTTTGATGTGGTTGAACGAGAGATCCAGTTCGCGCAGATGAACAAGTTCGTCCAGATTCTTGATTCGTTCGATAATATTGTGAGACAGCGTCAATTTCACCAAACCTTTCAGCACCCAGAGGAAATCGATGTTCAGGATATCTATGGAGTAATAATAATCATGAAGTAAAATATTAAAGTAAGCAGTAATAATTATGAAATCTTACATTTATATAAATCGTATATATACAGAATAAATAATTTTAATGCACCAATTATTACAGTTGTATTTTATCCTAGGAAGAGGAGATGTTTCATAATGAAAATAAATACTAAGGAAACACAATGCTTTTGCATATTGCTTGCAATAATTATATCTATATCAGGATCATTAATATTTATAAGTTATATTGCTTGCATTGCAACGTGAATAAATTCCTTTTTTTATATTTATGCAAGCCGACGATATCTTTATATAATTATGTAACTTACTAAGGAATTCGATACGTATTTCCTTCAGCTTGTCCAACTCAATTCCATCCTGCAAAAACAATCTTCCGGCTTCTCCCTTTGGTCCCTGATCGATTGCTAGAGAAATGAGTATACTTTGCGTTATCACGCCAGGTTCCAGCGCGGCTTCAAACGACATTTCATTTTTGTACATTCTATTAATCTCGCTTTGGAATTTTTAATTGTAAAAAAGAAATTATAAATGCACGGACGTGTGCAAAGGTATACATGTATACATGAACTGTTTGGAACTCGTTATCGTTGCCCGCGCAACCAATGGTGTGCAACCTGTCGTTAATGTAATTAGTCCATAAAATGCCAGATTTTCAGGGGCAATATTAAAAACTTACATAGGAAATTAAAATCCATATAAGGATCCACATGTGTAAAAATACATATAAGAATCCACAAGGATTATTACTTAGGACCTGGATTTGTTGGCAAGTCCCCAAAGATATAACCCCCCAAGCAACTATGGGATTCCATATGGATTCTCATTTAGTTTTTTCAATAGGGATGCAAAGACCTTTATAAGTTTCAAAAAATCTTTAAGCAAGTAATTTTTCTTTTTTTTTTTTAATTGAGGAAGTTCAATGAAAGGAAAGCATAAACTATGCAACGTTAATAATAACAAATGCGAAACCAATTTTAATTACAATTATTTTAGTAGAGATTAATTGAAATTTTATATTGTATAACACGAATGTCGTATATATTAAAATTTCATGTGTATTTTACATATTTATAAAGAAATTTGCATTAAATGTTCGCGAATTGAAAAGTAAAACGCGACCAGAAATTTTTCTTATTAACGCTTTACAATTATTCAAGTCAGGCATCTTTCAGAATTACCTTATTAGATTCTTGTCCCGGACGAATCGAGGTTCGCACATATTCGAATGAAAAAAATAAACAGTCTGGGCAACCTATAAGTTTGATTTGTTACATCTAAATCCAAGATTTCATTTCGTGTGACGAATATATCGGACTATGTATCGATTGGCTGTCAGATAGAGATTTTCTAGGGTGTCTAAAAATATATTAGGGACCCTGAAGATTCTCTATCCGACAGCCAATCCGACCAATACTTATTGTATGACGTATATAATACCACAGCCTAGAATAGGACAAATCAACGGACTCGGGTATATTTATCTTTACTGCACATATTCAGGCATAATTTTATAACATTAGTCTAATTAGTCACGTTTCTTTCGCTATGTATGTGTTAATATAAATAAAATTGTTACATTCGCTTGTAAAACACAAAATCTGGAATTTCAGCTAATATTGAGAACCGATGAAAATGAATTCATTATTGAATAAAGTTACAAGAATCACGGTGGCAGTCGTACCATCATTATCCTTTGGTGGCAGAAATGTTTGACAGCTATTGTAATAGGTGCATCCTCGTTGATCTTCGTTACAGCACAGTCGGACTTTAGAAGAGAGGTGATAAATTTTTATCCTATAATATGAGAATTGCTATTAGAAATTCAAATCATTAAAATATTTTAGTTTGCATTGATCATAACTACATGAAATATTTTAATTTGTATAATAGTAATGGGGAATATAATAATTATTGAAATATATAAATGTACCAAATTATTTTTACATTATCAATTAATAAGGATATTATTAGGGTTTTCCTTCACATATATTAATTGTTACAAGTATATTAATATTAACCTATGAATTTTTCACATAGCAACATAATATTATCTAAATATATGTGTGTACATGTACATTAATTAAATATTTAATTAACATAACTTTCCAAAGCTATTATTTCTCTCTATTGATATGCTTTTTTTGTTATATATATATATGAAAGTAAAAGCAATTGATAAAAAGTTATTTTATGATAATTTAAGAAATATAGATCATTAAAAGAATTATTTTGCTGTAGATAAACATGGCCACAGAATCTTTGTCAAAAGAGTTTTCTTTAAAGTGGGATAACTATGTCGAAACTATGAAATCTGGTCTTCTCTCCCATTTGAATGAGAATAATTTGGTTGATGTAACACTTGCTGTAGATGGTCAATTAATAACAGCCCACAAGCTAGTTCTCTCAGTATGCAGTCCTTACTTCAAAAACATATTTAAGGTACAGTTATTTCATTTTTCATGATATCCTATAGTAAACGCAATTTATTAAAAACTCCATTGTTTCATAGACAAATCCCTGTCAGCATCCGGTGATAATACTTAAAGACATAAAACATATGGAGATTGAGGCTCTACTAAAGTTCATGTATCAAGGAGAGGTGAGCGTGAAACGAGAGGACCTACCTACATTTTTGAAAATGGCACAGATATTCCAGATAAAAGGTTTGGAGGATCGAGAAGGACAAATCATGCCAATGATAAATAACTACGTCAATGCATCGCATGCACAGTGTAATTCAGAAAATGTTAACATATTGTCGGACGCTAACAGCGAACAGGGAAATAAAAGGAAATTGTCAGATGGCTCTGCTTGTTCTCAGAAGATAAGCAAGAAAAACATGAGAAAAAGAAAGAGACATTTGCCCGAGCATGAAAATGACTCGGTCAAGCAACCAAAGGATGATGTAAATATTAATAACACTAATGATGATATCTATCTATTATCGGACGATAATCAAGATGCGAATGATTCTGAAAGTGAACATAGTAAATGTGAAATTGAGGACAATGATTTTAATAACGGTGATCAAGAAATACTTTCATTAACTAATAAATCAAATTCGAACGACAATTCGATGCAATCAGGTACAGCATTTTATTGTATTGTTTGTCATAAAATTGTTGTTTGCGATTTATATTATTCTAAAGCTTATGCCATTACATATGAAATATTAACCGTTTGAGTGCCACGGGCCTTTCTCATTTCCCGATCGAAACTTGCCAAGCGGCGCGATAGCGCTTGTTATATTCCGTGTCGAAACTTGCCAAGCGGCGCGATAGCGCTTGTTATATTCCGTGTCGAAAATTGCCAAGCGGCGCGATAGCGCTTGTTTTATTCCGTGTCGAAACTTGCCAAGCGACGCGATTGCGCTGTTTTCAGCTTACATGCAATAATCATTTCCTACAGTTCAGTTTCGTTCTGACAGTCTCCTGTGCATCAATTCTTAGTGACATCAGTGCGTTCAAATCATATAAAAACATTATTTAAAGATTTTATTGCATATATAGAAGGTATGTGGAACAATAATTTCAATAATTTCATATGTAATCTATAATATAAAATGATATAATTGTATTTTATTATTATTTTATGCCCTTCAGCAATAATGACTTCGAAACGTAAGATGAATAGCACGGTATTAACGGATTCGAATTGCGACAGCAATGATGATGATGTTGTCAGTTTTAAAAAAAGAAGAATTAATGTGATCGACAATTCTGATTCTGATAGTGATATCCAAAACACTAGACACACCTCAAAATATATTAGAATTATGGAAAATGAATACAATCACAATGGCAATCCATTCGAATTTGTAGAAAGATCCAGACTGCAACATCATTTACCTGTTAGTTCCAAACCGATTGTTTACTTCAATCTCTCTTTTACTGATTCGCTTTGGGCAATGATGGTTCAAGAAACAAATAGATATGCCAAAGAATTAATATCAGCATCCATTCCAAATTCTAAGTCGAGACTGATAGATTGGTATCCAGTTACTGTCCTGGAAATGAAGGCCTTTCTTGCAGTTTTATTGGAAATGGGAATAACAAGAAAGCCAACGATATATTCATATTGGGCTGTAGGTTCAAGAGCAATACCCTGGTTTAGTAAAATGTTCTCAAGGAACAGATTCCAAAATATTTTAAGATGTTTCCATGTAATCGACAATAAAAAATGTTTCCCACCAAGCCATGGAAAATATGACGCATGTGCGAAATTTAATCCAATTCTGGAGCACGCCAATCAAGTATTTCAAATGCATTACACGCCACAGAAAATGTTGTCCATTGACGAATCTTTGGTGGAAACGCTGTGTCACTCAAGCATCACGCAATATTTACCGAACAAAAAACATCACAAGTGGGGCATAAAATTTTGGATGCTTTGCAATGCTGTATCCAAATATTGCATATCATTTTACTGTTACCGAAACGCGAAATCAAAGGTTTCGAAAAATGGGCTTGGGTACGATGTTGTTGAAAAACTACTGCAAGATGCTGATTGTTTGAATAAAGGACATCATATATATGTGGATAATTTTTTTACAAGTAATGCTTTGGCAAAATTTTTATATACAAAAAATACCTATATAACAGGCACAATAAGAAAAAATAGAAAAGACATTCCAAGTGAAGCTAAGCAAGTAAAGGTTGGAGAAACGAAATATTTTCAAAACGGGGAAGTGCTTCTATGCGCACATCGCGAGAAACGATCTTCGAAGAACCCCGTTTTGTTGATTTCTACGGAGGCGTCAACAGCGAATGCAACAGTGGTTAAAAAACGCTATGGAAGGGAAAGAGAGAAGACAAAACCAAACATTATTCATTCATATAATAATTTTATGGGTGGTGTGGACGAATCCGACAAGATGTTGTATACTTATTTAGATGAACGTCGCACTCTAAAGTACTGGAAGAAAGTGACCTTTAATATAATTTCACGGATGGTATTAAATTCGTATTTGCTATATAAAGAAACTGTAGGAAGGCAAGCAATATCACGACTCCAATACACGTCTAATATAATTTCTAAAATAGAAGATGAATGGACTCGAACAAGAAAAGACACGTGTATCATGAAGGGGGAAAAACCATACGGGTTAGAAAAACTACCAGGGCGCAATTTGAGGCGTTGCATAGTCTGCAGTACAAAGAACAATGTTATTAAAAGGTCCAACTTAATTTGTGTAGGATGTAAAAAAGGTTTGCATCCATTGTGTCTTCACAAGCATGTGTGTAAATTTTAATAATATTTGCATCCAAATGTTAAATTCAAATTAAAATTCGTTTTTTATCAGCTATTTCGTTCAACAAATATTTTATTATTGTTTTTTATAGTTTATTCTACATAGCATACTTCATTACATTATTATAGCGATTTGTAAATGAATTTTTTATATGAATAAAAGTATGTAAACCTATAAAATGTAAAATTACTCCAATTTTATCTTTTTTTACCGAAGATTGAAAGGTCACCGTAAAGTTGTGCATCGAGAAAAACCGAGCCTGCTGTGATTATGGGCTTCGCAGCCCAGAGCGTTGCAGTTTTCAGAAGAGAACAGAAGAAGCGCGATCGCGCCGCTTGGCACTCAAACGGTTAATGTAAATATCAAACAAAAGAGGCAAATGAGTCTGACATTCAACGAATAACGACTTAAACTGTCACTGAGAAAGAGTAGAAGCAGATTGAAACATTCAGTGTGCGTCTGCAGGAATTGAATGTTGAAACTACAGTAGATACTCAGTAGATACAGATATGCAAATATCTGTTATTCAGATTCTCATCAGCCTTTTTTTGACTGCTGAAACGATTAATCCATCGATAAAAAGTAAATTGACGTGATTTCGCAGCGGAAGTACCAGTGACGTACCGGTTATCAGCCAGAGGCAGACCGCAGTTGGTACACGCGGGATATGTTTACAACATGACGTCACGTTCCGAGGGGCTGAACAGGTTGCACTACCGTTGTGCAGAGCAACATCGTGGCTGTCGAGGTAAATGCGCGGTGATCTCGGAGACGTTTATGCCCACGGGAGTGGACGATCACAATCATCCGCCGGCTTACGAGTCCGAGCACGATTACCGGAAGAAGAAAGGCCTAGACACCGACAGCGTGTAGGGGGGAAACACTGCCGTACGAGTCATATAAGACAAATCGCCAATAGAAGCATACAAGCACGCAAGAGTTGCAGGACGAGAAAGACCAGAAGAGAAACATAGCCGGAAGTACAAAAGTTGGCCTAAGGAGAGAAAACTCATGGCAGGCTGTACAAAAGCATTCCGTGACCAATGTATAGAGAATAAGTTTAATGATTAATATAAATACTACATATATATATAACCGCTGTGTATACAAGGTCGAAATCGGAATGATGCGACGTCACCACCGATAACTTTTGTTCCAGTAAAGCATTCCTAAGGAAAATGATTGTAAACCTATACAGTATGTTATAGATTTAAATGCGACTGTGATTCGTAAACTTTCAGAATTTAATAAATATAGCAGACTTATTTATATGCGACATCACCGAGAAAATGGCAATATCCATCGATTCACTCCGATAGATCGCAACCTGATGTCGATTAGATGTACTCGTGCTGTAAGAAGAACGACTGAATTTTCAAATATATATATATATATATATATATAGCATTCGCGAGTATCGTAAGTACAATTATAGTTTTCGATCCTTCCACGTCTATGAAGACACGCGTTTCAGACGTGCTTATTTCTTCATTCCCATGAAGGCACCTGTTCACCACTTTGTTGCACTGTACTTCTCGCGCACAGTGGAAGATCTTTAAAGAAAAACAACGGAATTATGTTATTCCTATAATTACAAAAGACCATTAACTTTCAGAATTAACGATGTGAACAACGTCGAAGTGATCTATCGCAAATTTATCGTTTGGAATGCCTGAGCAAAGACGACGTATTTTCTCCTAATTTGCAGACTCCTCAGACATTAGAAAACTCATCTTTCTTCGTGATACCACGAAAGCCTTGAGTCCGACCTACTTACCTTCTATCATAAATATGAAACTATCACGACTCTCGAATCTTTTGTAAAAAAGAGAACCACCTACATCGCGACGACTTTTTTGTTCTCAATATCTCCTTAGCTTATTTCCCCATTCCCTGAATAAAACAATTGCCACTGACAGAGTTTCTGTATTGCACTGTGACACCTGGAAACTTCACTAGTGACGTCTCGCCATTTTCTTTTCCAATTTGCGTTGCTTCTTCTCAGTCATTTCAGGCAATTCTTGTGGTTCAGCAAAGAACCATGGAGACAAGACTTGCTTCCAGAGCATCCAGCCTCCTCTTAATGGTGCCTGTGCATAATTTCTAGTGTAATATATACCAAAGAAATTTGACATCACACATTCGCAAACTCTTTCCTGTATCGAATAAATGGAATAATACAAATAATTAGTCTTTATCGGTACTTACAAGGAGCCACAGCAACCAAAAGTAGTTTGATACAAGAGACAACACTTGTACTCCTGATGTCAATATAATTAAATCTTTGACATTCCTAGACAGAGTAATTAAATCATTCTCCAATGAGAAATAACAATATTATAAACAATACAATGGATTCATACAAATCGTAACAATCACTTACTCCGCTATGCCTCCTTCCATGTTGAGATCCACACCGGAGTCCAGAAGCTGACCAGACTCTGAATAAGTGGCGCGAGCCATATAGTGCATAAACTGGCAGCTGCCTACATATACTATGCCAGAAAATGCCGTTAGAGTCTGTAATGATAATGCAACACATGTTGAGGAGTCTTTTGACTCAATGACTGCAGCATTCTATTGGAACTGTCCGGAAGGCAGAACTTACTATTGCCAGAGTCGTAAAATTGAACAACGTCATCATCAAGGCGAAGTAAATTCCCATCGCGCCCAAGGCCATGTTGGTGTAGAATCTCAGCGTGGACTGATTCTCCTCCACTATCTGCTTCGCACCCTTGGTCGCTACTTTGCCTTTTTTCGTCTGCGAAAAATAACAATTGTCAGTCGTGAATGTTCCTTACAGCTCGACGACTCATCGTCGATAACGGTCGCGCGCATACAGCGAGTTTTCGCGTTACTTTTCAGTGAACTTATGTTACGAATCGTTTGAACAATTTAGATCATTCATTATGGAAGTGTCCATCTCGGTCAAATATGAAGATTCAGCAGGAAGCAGACGCGAGACACTCACTGTCATCTTGACTGTAATATATCCTGTTGGGGAAGAATTGTTCTCTAACTTGGAGCAAACGACATTGAAATTGATGATGAAGAAAGACTGGTAACTGTCGGTGACAAGAGGTTAACCTAACGCCCGACACTGCGTCGTGCACACGTGAGGAATCCCCAAACCATGCCGACACATACGCCGAACGATACCGAAACGTATAGTTTTCATACCAACCATACACGCGTCGTTGGCCGCAGCAGCAGTAGTAGCGCGCAAATGGCAACGAAATTCGAAATCTAACGCTAATTCAGATAGCTTTGTTAAAGAATTGACTTCTCATTTATCAGGGCAATAGACTTTTGAATCAACTCTAATAATTTTTGATTTAAATTATCACAATCGCACCACATACCGACTTAATAATTATTATAATACAATTTCATATTTTAGAATTATATATATAAATTTGTAATTTATATTAACGATTTTTTGCACTAAATGTACCGTATATTCCTGGAAAGAAATTTTATACATATAATTAGATATATGTAAGGCATCATATATAGAGTCGCAGGAAACACAATGTTCAAAATTGAAACATAAGACATCTTTTAGATATCTTTGAGTTGTTTTTAAGGCGTCTAAAAATATCGATTTTAGACATTGTGCTATCTAGGAATATGTCTATATATACAAATATATAATTATATATATATATATATATGTGTGTGTGTGTGTGTGTGTAATGATATAGTTATAAATTATATATTAAATATATATTATATTATATATAAATTATATATATACGTGTATTTTTTATATATGAACATATTCTATATATAATTATATATGAGAAATTCTTTCCCCGGTTATTGACTTCTCGAGGAATCTAAAATCCATTCGTAATTCTTCAAAGAATCTATAATTGCTGTCAACATTAATTAGGAAATTAGTTAAGATTAATAAAAATTGAAGACCAAGTAAAAACGAAGAGAGAAAGAATGAAAAAATAAAACTAAACGAACGAATTGCTCAAGATTTTCCAGAAATCCTCAGGATCTCTCTCTTTCTCTTTCTCTCTCAGGACTTTTTGAGGAATCTAAAATCTGTTCGTCATGTGGCTTTGATATAATTTGTACGCGATACTGATTCTCGCAACAACTGCGGAAGCTTAACGATAACGAAACGCTGAAACTTTAGTCATCGTCCATCAAATACAAGGATGTGGAATTCAGATAAAGCCGTCAGATCGACTCTACATATCAACATTTGCACGTTGCGAATGACACTCCTCTGTGAGATCATTGACGTGTCGTTTAGTAGTCTCCTCCGTTTCGACCTTCGAACTCTCCGGATCTAAAATAATAGTTAATGTTATTTGCGTGTCTGTACACAAAATGGGTAATTTCCAGTTCGGACGAAAGGAGGGCTTTCCCTCGATATATCCTCCGAATCATACCGCTGTGACAGTGGACGTAACTGAAGCCATATTGGTCGCAGTCTTCATCATCATCTCGATCGCTTATATCAGTATCATACCGGGCTACCGGAAGAGGCAAGTAAGTACGACGAGGACTTCTTATAAATCTAAGATATTTTTTATGATGTTTTACAAGCGCATTTGCGTCATATAATATAAACAAGTCAATATGAAGAATCGTGCTTAGTACTTTGTACTTATATTCTAAAACAATCTCATGAAATTAAACTTTGAGTTCTTCCTCTGTAAAGAAAGAGTTGTATATTTTATTTTATTTTATTTTTCTTGAAATGGACGCATGACGATTGTTTTTGGACCTTTAAATTGAACTTACAACTGGTTACAATTAAGACGCTGGAAAAAAATGTTTATATATAATCATATAAAATTATATATAATTGTGATTTTTTTATATATGTGAATTTTGTCTCTATGTAGCTACATATATAGTTATATATGTCCACATGAAATAAAAATACTGTTTAATAAAAAATGAAAAAAATAGTTTGATTCAATTAAGTGTTTACATCATGGGCAGCTTATAAAAATAAGCTTTTCCTTCAATTATATTCATATTTTTTTAAGTACGAAACATATATAATTATATATGATTATATATAAGCACATATGAAGACGAAATTCATACATAATTATTTTTCTCCGGGACTATATTAAGTGAATGCTATCCGATGATTTTAGACAATTCACAGAAACCTTGAATATTTTTTCTACGCGAAAATTCAATGAAATGCTGATAAAATGCTTTTCGTTATTGCACAGAGCATCTACATGACCATCAAGGTCACCTTGAGCATCATCATCGGGTGCCTGCTAATCGGTGAATATTTTAAACAGAATTTTTGCCTTGTGCTTGTACCGAACTAGTCTAACGTCAATTTGCAGTGGAGAACTTCGGTCAGAAATGGGAATACGGCAAGGTGAGGAGCAAGACGCCTTATCGGGCTGGCGAGGGTCAGGAAGTCATGGCTGATATGGAAGTCAAGATAGGGCTGAGGTCGGTGAACATCACGATGAAAGGTAATCCGTGAGAATGAGCGAAGCATAAAAAATGAGGTTCCATATATTCCTTATATCCTTAGGAGAGTTTCGCGTTGCAAATTAGAAAACGTGTAAACATTCGCGAGAAAGAGAGAACTAGATGAATAAAACGGTAGAACAAACAAAAGCGGAAGAATGACGCATTAAAATTCTAATCAAGGATCCTCTTTAGCCGAACCTGAAGAAAACACGCCGCTCGCGAAGGAGCAGATCGATTATAACGAGAGATTCCCTTGGACATGGGACCAGGGTAGAATCGGTTTCGGGCCTTACGGTAGATATCATTTGTGAACAGAGGCGTTCTATCACCTTTCATAGCAGCGTTCGTGTAAAACGACGTAAACAAAATGAACATTTCCGCAGCCGGACTGCTGCAGAGAACTTTCCGCGAAGGCCAAAGGAAAGGCTTGCCCATCCCAATCTTGTGGATCGCCGAGTATTTCGTTATCGATGGGGAAGGCATTCGATTCGGACGGTTTTATCGAACGGCCGGCTGGTACTGTCACATCTTGCTTTGGTGAGTATCAAGGGCGGAAAGAATAGAAGGTCTGAAACGTCGCTTTCTGTTCTTTCTTCCAACGTAAAAGCGCGGAGAAGTGCGAACTTGAAGAATTTCACGCACGACTAGCGTGGCAAGTGCCAAGTGAAGAAATAGACACCTTATTTCATCATTTATTTCTCATTAGATCCTCACAGCATTGCAAACTCGAATCTGTAAATAAAAATGAAAAAAAAATCACACGGATTTTTCTATCAAATGAAGTCTCTTACGCCCATTTCTACCGTCATGGTTTAAATCTAATCGACGATTAACTCAACGGAATTGAACGCAATTAGCTGAATTGATCAATACGATTGGTCAATTCCGTTGAGTTACTCGTGGATTAGATTTAAATCATGAATGGTAGAAACGGACATACGAAGGATACATCGACGTAAAAGCTCAAAATAATCCATAATCCATAGGACGGCCTTTGCTTGTTGGATTCTGGCTAACATATTCCTGCAATGCGTAAGCCGGTATGCCGCCTACTTAATCGGCATAATTGGCGGTTTGCAGTTGTTGACCTGTCTCGTGTGGATCTCCGTACGCAATCCGATTTCGCTTGTGATCCCTTTCGAGGAAGGCGCCATCAAAGTGATACTGGGCACGCACTTCTGGATGACCTTTGGATGCGGTGATTGATCAGATCGATTATCTATCGTGCAGAAGCGGCCATAAACTTGATCCGTTAAATTCCCACCTTCTCAGATGACGTTGTGTCGAGCTTTCAGATCTTAACAATTCAAATTCTTTACATAAAAATAATTTTAGTTCCCGCATCTTTTCGCTTTGAATTTTTAAATTCAACATTAACGTTAAAATCAACATTAACAGCGACGAAGCCACCGTCACCCGCTCGCTTAATTTATCCCCCTTTTAGCAAAACTCGTAGAGTAAGATATTTTCTACACTACTGGGGTGAAAAGTTTCGTTACTTTTATATACATGTCACATCAGCTTCCATGCGCACTTTTCTAGGTATACTCTGCGTCTTTCTGGCGATCATAATGATATTCATGGACCTACGTTATCCTAATACGTTGTCCACGGTTTTGGAAATAGACCCTCTCGGCCAATACGACGAACTAGTAATGCGTAAGCAAACGTTGGAAACTTTCAACTTAGCGCTCTGCTTCCGAGACATTCTACAGAAAATGTTCGTTTTAATTGACAGGGGGTAACCAAATGGACGACATATTGCGCAAAAAGGTTCATATGGACAGCCCGATGGAAATGACTTCAAAGCAAAACAGACACACTGGAATGGTAAGACGATAAAAAAAAAACCTTACACAAAGTATAACATAAGAAGATGGTCATAAGTATTATGTGGTTATAAATATTATATATGTAAAAAAAATAATTGTAGATGGTAATGAAGAGACGATCGACCATAAAGAACGCGCAAAAATCGCTCTTCCGTGCACCGGTACCTATGAAGATGGACATTTACGATGACGTGGCACTTTACAAGAATCAGTCAATAGCTGGGTATGCTCGCTCACTTCAAACAATACAAAGAATAATACGATCGTCTCGAAGTATATATATATTTTTTTTCAGAGAGATATACATTCTCTCTCCCTTCGCACGATCCCATCGTCCACACGTATCAACGTTGAAACAACACGTTGTTACAGTGCAACGCAATTTATAAAATGTTGCCATATCAATTCACAAACGCTGACAGTTTAGTCTCTACGTAAACGATCAGAGCTATATTCTATATGTTAGATTAAGATTGATACACACGTCGCGATCGGATCTCTTATCGTAGTGCGTCATTTCTTACTGTTCAAGGCCATCCAATGCACCTATCGAAGCACCTACGGTAGAGATGAGCGATGAGGTGACTATCAAGCCGCCGCCTGTCCCGAGGAAGAAACGGTCAAAGGCTAAGGTCTAGGTGACAACCAGCCGATGGTCGGCGAGCAAATGGATCGTCGTGTCCAAAAGGAAGAAGCTCTTGAATGACATAAAGCCATGTATCTTTTTTCTCTCTTTCTTTTCGTTACTGTATCAATACATAGAGATGAAAGATGACTTTCAAAAACTGACGAAACTGTCGAATACGAATGAAACTCCGTCGAGTCGCGCAGTCTCTCCCGCCTAGCTCTCCGATTCGGTGGTCTTTTCCTTGCTGTCGTTGCTCTCCGAAGCGGATCTACCTTTCTCCTCCGACTTCGATTCCGACTTGTCGCTGGACTTCTTCTCTTTGCTGGATCTCTTCTTCTCGCTCTTGCTCTCCTTCTCAGGCCTCTCGCGATCGCTGTCGCTCCTCTTACCGTTGTCCGACTTGTCCTTGCTGCGCCTCTCCCGTTCCTTGTCCTTGGACTTGTCTGAATACTTGGACTTGGACGATCTGGATTTGGATTTGGAGCGTGAACGCCTGGATCTAGACTTGGAGCGCTTGCTGCGCGAGCGTGAACGACTACGACGTCGTGGCGATCTCTTTTTGCGCTCCTTCGATCTGGACGGTGATCGACGCGATCTGCAATCAAGTGGGAGATCAATCTCCTGCGAGTTCACATATCTTTCACATGCCGCATATCTTTTATTGTTATAAAGGACACGTACTGATTGATGATATAAACGCGACAGAATGATTCGAAAGAACATATAGAGTTTTTATCTCTTTTAAGTACACTTTTATAACCCGATAGTATATATTTATATATAATTTTTAATCATATGTTTTTATAACCTATATACCAGGATATTTTAAGGTAATTGGTAAATATCTGTGATACGTTAGAAAGGTAATGTGATATATCGTTAGAATATTGTTAGAAAGGTAATAGTTAATACAACACAGAAAGCTCGAAAACCCAATGCTAAATGTTTATAAACATGACTTACGATATATAGCTTTGATACTATAGCAAGAGAATATTAATCAAACTTACATAATGTTTAAACACTCAAGGAAATAATCGTTTTTCGCGCTTTAGCTTTTGGCTGAGACTGCTCATGCATAAACGTATGTAAATATATGTGCAGTGCCGTGTATTAATGCTGTCCTATTTCTTAAGCAGTGATGTAAAAAGATGTCGAATTAGACGAATAATTTCAGAATATTTGTGAATCATGACTGCTGCTTTGGAGTATCCTTGCCAGGATATCCTAATTGATAGATTCTCTTATGCCTTTTATGCGTTGTGATTGACGGTTTATATCCATATTCTGAACTCACTTTTATCAATAAAAATGCTTCTAAAAATAGCTTAAGTGGGGTCAACAATGAGAATTTAAACTCTAACCCTTAAGAAATTGACCAATCACAGTCGTGATGAATGTGAGAAAAATAATCGACTGTGATTGGTTAGTTTCTTACGACTTAAGGCTTAAATTTTACACATTAAATTCTCATTGTAGACACCGCTTTGAGAATCATTTGATTAGCTGAAAAGCCATATTTAAGCCACTTTTATCGATAAAAATTCATATGTCTTATTGTGGAAAACCCTTCAAGATCGTGACTCTCGAGCAGACAGAAGTGCACTATACCAGCGTGGTGCATGGTCTGTTCTTTTTAGTTGAACTGGCTGCACTAGTTCAAGAAATTTATATACACACAGTGAATCGTACGAAACGTACATACGAGATTCTCACGCTTCAGCGTGCGTAAATTTTTTGAACTGGTGCAGTCAGTCCATCTAAAAAAAAAAAAAAAACAGACCAATAGACTGTGCGAAAATCAAAGTCCTTGATCAGTACCTTGATCGACGTGATCTGGAACGTGATCTGTGGCGGCTACGCGAGCCGCTGCGTCGGCGCGACGGCGAGCTGCGCCGGCGCTCCTTCGATCTCGAGCGTTTGGAACGCGAGCGCGAACGACGGCGATGACGAGATCGCGAGCGTCGGTGGCGCGAGCGCGATCTTTTGCGCGACCTGGAGCGCCGGCTGCGGCCGCGCGAGCGCGAGCGCGACTTCCGGCTGCGCGAGCCACTTCTGCTGCGCTTATCTTTGGACAGCATGCCGATCATCGGGTCGATCGCCGCGGAGATGAGATTGTGCGCTTCCTTCACCCGCGACATCGCCTCCTCGATCTCCTTCTGTGCGGCCTCGTTGCTCTTCGCCTCGGGTTTCGCGATCGCCTGCGTCGAGTGGTAGATCTTGATCGGTCGTTCCGCCAGCGACTTGCCGTTTAGCGATAGAGCGGCGACCACGACAGCCTGCTCCGACAGCTCCACCAGCGCATAGTGCTCGGTGTCCGAGTCCCTGCTGCACATACGCAGGTACTTGATCTCCACGTTGTTGTTGCCGAAGAATTCCAGCAGCTGCTCGGCGCTCACCGACGCATCCAGATTCGCCACTACCAGCGTCCGTCGGATCTCCTCGATGCGTCTGCTATCCAAGTGGCCTGGCAGATGCGGATAGGGTGGCAGACCATTCGCCTCTAACTTCGGGTCCATTGTAGTGATAACGTGGTTCGGAGGGATACCTTCGATGGCGTTCACCACGTTCGGTGGCAGCTTCGGCTCCGATGGATAGAGGCCTGAAAAGGTTCATTGAAATGTGAACAATTGTAAATTAGAAAACACAGATGGTCCTTTTTAGCTGAAATAACTGCATTAACTCAAGAAATGTATATACACATTGAAGTATATAAAGCACATGAAATATATATTCGAGATTCTCAAGCTTCAGTGTGCATAAATTTCTTGAACTAGTACAGCCAATTCAAATACAAAGAATAGACTAAAGATCTTATATTTTTAAATGTTAGTCTACTGGCTGTTATCTTACAACATATTCAGGAATTTCATTGGTCGCGATCTCAAATTATTACATGTCTCATATTTGTATTTCTATTCCTATATGCTTATGTAACGTGTTTTATACTTACCTGGCACAACTGTGCCGTTGTTAGTAAGCTCAAGAGCACGCTGTTCATCTGGAATATCTCCATTCTGATAGGGGATCACAATTAGTGCACGGTCGATGAAGACCGTGTTAGTCATATGCTGTGCCACAGCAACGCAGCCCTGGTCGTGAAACTTAATGTAGCATATGCGTGACTGTACGGGCACGGCGACGTCCCTGATTGTGGGGTACAATCTGATATCTTCAATTTTGCCGAGGTATCCGAAGAGCGTCTGCATTTGATCCTTGGTAGCCTGAGGTGCAATATTGGTCACCTGGACAACCTTCGTCGAACCGACCGCCATTCTGAACGCGGATTATCGGCCGATTCACTCCGCACCAAATGCAACAAAAGTTACTAAACGAGGTTATGTTTCGTTCGTTCAAACAGATTTTACCTAAATCACGCCATACTTATCGTTCAAACTTTGTCCCCATTTCGGACAGTCGTGCGTAAGTGGAAATATTCACAGAATAACGATAACACTGTCACAGAGGAAAAATACTTTTCGAATTGCCTCGTTGTGTCAACCAAGCTTACCGAATAGCGGCTGGAGAGAAGCGGGCTGAAGTTAACCGTGCTCGTGATCAAAATCTAATCGAAACACGTCGTCATCGCGGCGTTTGTTTGACGCTCTGATCAGCGCGGCAAGTTTGAATGTTTCAAGAAAACGGTATGTTAAATCTGACTTTTTCTAATTTCTCCAACAGGTTTTATTGCGCAGAATTCTAAGCAGAATTTTGTATTCAAGATACCTTAACCGCTGACAAATATTTGATATATCAAGAACACGATAAATTTACTGTAAAACCTGTAAAAATTCATAAAAATGTATCAATTAAAATTGTAAGATAGATTTCGTTATTCTGCCGAAAATAATTTCACTGTATATTATCACGAATTTTCCATCGATATCAAACACCCCGCTAATTAATTTCCAGTCACAGACTCATCAATGTTTTCGAATTACTTTTTCATTCGTCTGCCCGTTTTTTGTAACGTCGACAAGGTTTATTCCTACCGATCTTACGCTCAGCGACATCCGACGCGAGGTCATGCTCCTTGAGAATCGACCCTGTTGATCTTTAATCTTTCACGCAGCTCTAATAAGTAGGACTTGGTAATTCGCAGAAAATGGAGGGTAATGGAAAGAATGCACTTTGTAGGGAGCAACGTCAGACATGCAATTGCCCCGCCTCCGCGACCGATTTGGCGATATGAGCTTCTCGAAGGCATGAAATCAAAAGGTCATTCGCGTCATTACGCGTAACCCTTCGCGAACAAGAGCGCGTTCTTACATGGCATTCTATCGGCAATTTCCGATCGGTGATATTACACGTTGTCTTTGCCCGGTAATCCCGTCCGTCTTCTCTCCATTATCTCCCCGGCCATGGGTCGCCATCACGAGCAACCCTCGGACGCACCAGCTACCACCACGGTCGACGATATTCCGGTGCACCGTTATCGCTCGTATGCTCGTAACATTCGCAATTTGCTGTACCTCGGTGGTATCCTGCAAGAACACACACGTCCCGTCGTTCAATCGTACGTCACGGGCCTCTTGGTGATCTTCATAAGCCTCAGCCAAGTCATCTTAATAATAAACTTCATTCGGGACTACTCCGACAATCTGCTGATCCTGGCCAAGTGCCTGGGCCTGGCCAGTAGTTTCATCTCGCCTTTCTTGATGGTATCCTGAGCGAAACGCTATACAGGGTTTACTAAAAATATGGAAACCCTTTGATATTTCGAAGACAACGCGTTTTCGAAAAGAAAAATGTTCCATACAAAAGTTGTAGGGTTTTAAATGACATATTACATAGCAATATTAACCTTGAATAACGTTTTCAAGATCACGTAAAGATCAATTCGAAATTTTTTAAAGGGAACCTCCAAACTTTTTTGTATATTTATATAGCTTACTCCGAAAGCTTTTGCGTCACTTAAAGACCTATAACATTTATATGGGATATTTTTTCGAAAATGCGTAATTTTCGAAATATTAAGTATATTTTCGAAATATTAAATGTACTTTCGCCAGTCCCGTTTAGATCGACACGACGCGCCCGTCGTTCTTTTCTTCCAGATGTGCTGCTTCCTGGTGAAACGGGACAAGCTGCTCGAACTGCACAAGACGCTGGATGATCTCTTAGAGAAGGAGTTAGCGCGAGATCGGAGGACCAAAGCAACCATACTCGCCTCTGTGTACGCGTTTGCCAGGCCGTCTTACACAGTGGTCATCATGCTAGGTTCCACGGTCCTCGCATATCTGTTACCTTCGATGATCAACGCGATCCGTTCGGCAAGCACCGCGAGACTGAAAATGCCGTTTCCGGTGAAGTTCCCGTGGAAGATGCCGAGCAGCGGTTCTCTCTTCTGTTTGCACTTCCTTTACCAGATGACCGTCTGCTGGTGTATGGTGTTCACTATCGGTGCTGTCGACAGCCTCTTCGGCTTCTACGCGTTCCAAATCTCTTCGATACTGTACGCCATGTCTGTACGGCTGACAACTCCGCGACCCGACGAAGTGTTCTCGGCGGTCCTGAAGACATGCACGGAGACGCACCACCGGCTGCTGCAGTCTGTGCGTTTATTGGAAGACATCTACGGGATTATTTTGTTACGGATGATTGTTACTAATGCCGTGATGATGTGCGCGCTGATCTTCGAGGCGAGTCCGGTACGTAAGAGAACGAATGAATCGCGCGTGACCAATGATTTATTTTCGCTGAAAATTCGTGTACAAACGTAATTTTTTTCTTTGAAAATCGTGATTACGCGTATTTGTGAAAATAATAAATAATAATTTTACATTACTCGAAGGGTTAAAACTCTAGACACAAGACAATGTTTTGAATCGAGAAGTCAGTCATAAAGCCCTTATTTTTTTTTAATATTTATCAGATGTCCTTAAGGGGTTAAGCCAGTCTAGGATTTTCAAAAAATCGAAATTTTTTTTTGCTTAAAGTACACTTTAGGGTCCTAAAAACATTATTCAATTGGTAGAATAGTGAAAAAAAAATTTTTTCCCTGTCCAATCCGCTGTAGTGTCGAAGCGTTCGGAGCGCATTTTCTACCTGCCGCGGCGGGCTTTCTTTTGTCCCCTTTTTACGACTCTTACCCTCTGCATTAATGTACCAACGGGGCCTGAGGGCTCTAATGGTTCCCCAAAAGGTCGTTAGGAAGTGCTAGTTCATCAATACAGCTGTATGTGTGGGCTTGTGTGTGGGTCAGTCAGCTGAAAAACGACGCCACGCGTGGACGCTTCTTTTTGTTTTCGTAAGTTTTTCTGCTTCAACGAATTACTTTATTGACTACAGTGGTTTTTACTGATAAACTATCATTGTTAACAATATGAGTGATGACAAGAAGCCAGTTTATTCGGCGCAAAAAGGCAAAAGAGGACGAAAATCCAAAGCAGATGGACCAAGCATTTTAAAGCGGCAGCGTCCGTTAAATCGCTTTGAAATGGAGCAGCCCAGTGAGAACGTTGATACGTCTGCTAAGAAATTATCTGCAAATAATTCAGATGATATTGAAGTGAATCCTAGTGTTGGATACAGGATGATAGACTTTTTGACAGTGTTTACAGCAATTTCTCAAGTAGTTGTTTGTAAAAAGTGTAAGTCCGATGTAGAATTCACCGAAACAGGAAATCGTGGCTTGGGTTTCAAGATTGTGATTACGTGTAAAGAATGCGATAAAGTTTTTGTTCCGAGCTGTTCATTTATTGATAAAGCATACGAAATTAATCGCAGAATCATTCTTGCAATGCGATTAATCGGAGTGGGATTACACGGCATACACAAATTTTGTGCATTCATGGATCTTCCACGGCCGATTTTTCATTCATTTTATGACTCTGTAGTGAAATGTATTCATGGTGGTGCAGAAATAATATGTGAGCAAAGTATGAAGAGAGCTGCTCAAGAAGAAAAAGGAAAAACCGATGAATCGAGTAACTCCGGAGGAATAGCTGTGTCCGGTGATGGATCATGGCGAAAACGAGAATTCTCGTCGCTTTTTGGATTCGTCTCGCTAATTGGATGGAAGACTGGTAAAGTTGTGGACGTTTCGGTAAAATGTAAGTACTGTAAAGCATGCGAATTTTGGAAAACGAAGGAAGGTACAGCAAAGTACGAGGAATGGTTGGAAACCCATGCCGACGAATGCCAAGCTAACCACGAGGGCTCTTCGGGCCTCATGGAAGTCAATGCTGTTTGCGAAATGTTCCAGCGCTCTGAATCTTTACACAACCTGAAATATACTAGCTATATCGGAGATGGAGACTCTAAGACATATACGGGTATCGTAAATTCATCACCTTATGGAGATTCGATTGTCCAGAAGAAAGAGTGTATCGATCACGTCCAGAAACGCATGGGTACGCATCTCCGGAATTTAAAAAAGAAAACAAAGGGCCTCGGCGGAAAAGGTAAACTAACTGGCAAATTGATCGATGAACTGTCAATTTATTATGGTCTAGCGATACGCAGAAATCATGAATCTGTAGAGAAAATGAGGACTGCGATCTACGCAACGCTAGATCACAAATTATCAACAGATGCCAAGCCCAAGCACGATCACTGCCCGAGCGGAGAAAATTCGTGGTGCTCGTGGCAAAGGGCCAAGGCCACTGGAACTTTGGACGAATATACACATAAACCACCTTTACATGAAGAAGTATACAAGGCTATAACTCCAATTTATGAAAAATTAACCAGTGATGACCTACTCACTCGTTGCATAGGCGGCTTCACTCAAAACAGTAATGAGAGTTTCAACGCTACAGTATGGTCGATGGCCCCGAAAGTGACATCCAGTGGCAAAAATGTACTTGACACAGCTGTATATATTGCTGCAGGTACTTATAATGATGGCCTCACAAGTGCCATGAGAGTCATGCAGAACATAGGCATCAAAATTGGGCCGAACTGCTACAATTACTGTCAAGAGACTGATCAAAACCGCATCAAATTATCCGATCGTTCGCTCTCAGATGCTGCAAGAAGGTCTCGAATCGAACAGAAGGCATCCAGAAAGGAAGAAGATGAGTTCCACGTGTCCATGGAAGGTGAAATGTACGGCGCAGGCATCGCAGACTGAAGGTATAACAAAATTTTCAGCACGTAAAACTTTAAACGCGTTTTTCTCGAAACTGCATTTTTCAAATCGGGCGACGATGGTACTCGGAGACTATCGCACGTATCCACTTGAAATTTTAACTGTAGCTTCACAGTAACATTATCTAGTAAACTACGTACGATTTTTTTGTTATCATTGCAACTTTTTTTTTATAACCAATTTACTGCTCATTTTTTCGGTCAAAAATTGAACCTTTTTTTACAAGTCCGCCATTTTACGAAAAATTGATGTAAAGCTAAAAACATACGTACTTTATTAGCAAGTCTTATGTAGATTAAATCCCGTTCTTTATTTTGTTTCAGATAGCACGAGTTCCTAGAATCACCGTCGCCCATAGAGGCCCTCTTGAAAAAGGTGATTCCGAAGATTGGCCTAGTAGCCGCCATTTTGTATCAAAATGTCAATATAAAAATTTTTTTATACACTCAAATACATGTTTAATAAAGCCTGAAAGAGAGAAATTCGATTCCTTTTTCCTTACTCCCAGAATAAATTGTCAAAGTTAGGCCTTTTTTGAGGGCTCTAGACTGGCCTAACCCCTTAAGACGTTCTTTAAAAATGTGTGCTATTTGAGAACAGTTTACAGACATGACGATCAACCAGGGTTGCCTGTTAGTCTGTTACTTGACGTTAAAACTGTTGCAAACGTTCATCTACGCCTGGTACGGCAGTCTCATCACGAGCGCGGTGAGTCTCGATTGACGATTTCTTTAAAGGCGAATGAGATTATTGCTCGACTCGAAGTCGATCGTTTTGAGCGTTTGTTTAGAGCGAGCACTTCCGCGAAAGGATCTACTTTAGCGAATGGCCGGACTCCAGGCTCGATCGTCACGTGAGAGCGGGTGTTGTCATGACGATGCTACAGAAGCCGATGACTATAACGGCGTTAAAAATGTCTTCCGTAAATGTCAACATGTTTACCAACGTGAGTGTTGAGTCAGTACGCAGTCGACAGCTGAGTAAATCTTAGCGGAGACTTATCGCCCGAGCGAGTAGCTTCTGATTTTTATCGTGCGATTAAATCAAACGACCTTTTGTCTCGCGTTCTCGCAACAACCGCAGAATCTACGAGAATTTTTTGTGAAAATAGGATGGAATGCAAAAAGTTTAAATAAAAAATTCCGATGTATCAACTTACTTATGCCCAATGAAATTCCGCAAACTGCAACTGCAGCCGTATAAAAATCCTTTATCGGCGATGACCTTTTCGTCGCAAAAATTTTCTTAGATTTCTCCCGGTTCCTTTCACTCCCGTCTCTTACAGAGTTCGGTCAATTCTCTGCATCTTGTTTGCTTTTTGACTATATCTGAAATAGAAATTACCCAGACAGCACAGATCTCCTAGGGACGTCCTGAGGACGTCCCGATGTCCTAAAAATGCAGCACGTCCATGGGATATCGTGTGCTGTTTGGATATTTACATATTATTTGTAAATATCAATTTAACTCGTTGCTTTCGTTACCAGATTTTGAACACCACTATGTCTTACTTCTTTCTCTTGCAATCGTTGGATGAGTCTGAATAAACGACGCTGCGTATCAGTTTTCTTTTACGAGGATCAACGAATGTAAAGAACCGCTGCACGTCGAAAATGTAATTAATCTGTTTCTGTCAATATATTATTAATAATTTATATTTTAAAAAAATCATCGTGTTGAAAATTAATACTTTTTCCCATACAAAGGAATTACGATTCTTTTATCTAAAATCAGCCACAGAGTGTTCATTGAATCTTGTCCCTGAATCTATAGTATTTATTATACTACAACTGTATAATATATAAAAATACAATTTATAGTTGTCCTTTTATCTACATCTACGGTAGAAAAAGAGTCGAGATGTGCGTGCTACGAATGACAAAAATGGAAGAAATATTAAGAGCATTTTACAGAAAATTGTGTGAAAATGATTAGAACTTGATATTAAAAAATTAAAAATTCCATTTTCTATTCAAATATATCTTTGTTTACTTTTTTTTAATATTTTAGTATCTTTATGCATCCCTTTACATCGACTTAATAAAAAACAAATGTTGTTAATTTAATTATTGAAAAAGAAGACCGAAGTAAGTCTTACAAACGATGAATGATTTAAAAAAACATTCAATTTATGTAAACAAAAATTAAAAACGTTACAATAAAGATAGCAATTACCAGAAAACAAGTATCAACAAAATAATAATATATACTAGCACTGCCAAGTAATGCTGCCAACAGGAATAAATCGCGAAAAAAATTCCGTAAGTTTTACACAAATAAAATTTTCATTAGGAATAGGCCTATAAATTCTAAACATAAGAAAATTTTACAAAAAATATATTTTAAATAAAAATATAAGATCTTACATGAATAAGTAAAAAATATTGGAGATTTAGTCTAATAATTTGCACAAGTCATAAGTAATTCTGAATGTTCAACATGCGTTGCACATCCGTGTTCGATAACTTCTAGTTCTAGATTTTACCTTCTAGAAACGCACAACATAGAGAATATTTAGCAGTATTCGAGAAACGGCAAATGCGATCAGACTGCCGAAGACTGAAGACTAAAGGAGGAGAATTTGCAAGTCTACACACCTTTAATCCGACATACTAGATATCGACCATGAATCGGCCTTTTCGTCAGTTTTTAAGATCACATTCGACATGAAATTTTGCGCTGCCGTTCACTTCGAAATCCAACTTTCTGCGGGAACGGAATCTCACATGTCACACACGCACTCTCGCATTCTTTCGTTTATCTTGAGAACGACAATGGATCTGGAGGGGTTTCATGACAAAGTCCGGACGGTGGATGTGAAGGAGTAGGCGATAGGTCTGCAAGAACGTGTACACAATAAGGCGCTTTATTTCTATAAATGTATTGAAGTGGTCGGTAATTATTTAATGCTTAGATACACACTTGTGCAAGTGTAGCATCTTTTTTATGTACGCAAATATAAATATAACAAATTCCACTCGCCGTTTCACTATATATACTTGCACCGGTATCTCGACGCACCGTTAACACGACGGCCGCGCAAAAGTCTTCGGCGAAAGTCCGTAAGAGAAGAAGAGATTCCGGGGTCTTTGTTCTTCACACGACACCGCCGTCTCCACCGCCGACACCACCGCCATCACCGCCGCCACCGTCCATGAGCGGCTTGCCGTGCTTATCCCGCTTGGCGTTGTGATAGAGGTAGGAGTGTACACGCAGACTGTTACTGTTCTTATATTTATTGCCACAAAGCTTACACGTGAGACTTTCAAGCGGACCGTGAATATAACGGACATGGAGTTTGAGGTTCTCCTTCCGCGTGAAGTGACGTAGGCACCACGGACACGAATACATGCGTATCATCTTGCCGCGCTCAAAGCGGAGCGTCGGCCCCAGTTCTGAGACGACACGCAATGTCGTCTCCAGAGGCAAGCTGCTGCCGGTAATACCCTTAACGGTACGTCGGCCTTTGTTACTGGGGCTCGCCGACGCATCGTACGACGTGTAGTCGCTCTGAAACGCTGTCACGTTGCTTGGACCTGAAGGGATAAAAAGAACGTTAGAGACAGAGAGAACGTGTCGTCCAGTTGTGTGAGGAGGAAACTATCGGGAGTTTACATAAAATGAGGAACATGCTAAATGGGTGCGTGTAAATACGTATATGAGAAGAAAATAGAGAGATAAAACGGAAGGGATCGTTTATACGCATTTGCAACACTATGTTCAATATCAAAGCTAAGACTGAGACATGGCGTGAGAATGTGAAGTCCCGTGATCTCGAGAGGAACAGCTGGAAAAATCGTCTTCGGGAAAAGAGGCAATCCGTAAACACTGAGACACAAAAATGACCGAATCGTCTATATTCGGATCTACGTGCGCGACAAGAACACGTCCCGTGAGTTGGTTCCCTTTCAAATGTGCGGGCCGACGAATAAAAAAAAGATAAAAAAAGATAGAGGAACGGACGGAGAGAGAGATAACAAGCAAAATGTGGCAAAGATGTGGAAAAAAACGTACCGAACGGTTGAATTTGTGAGTTCTGACTGTAGGGAACTAACTGCGTGTCTGGCGCGAAATCTGTAAGACAATATATCGCTTTCTCTAAACATCCATGACCGCATGAGATCTGGGGTGCCTGGTGATGAATTTATGCGGAGAGAGTATAACTCGAGAAAGATATATATACATATATATATACATATATATGTGTACACATCGTTCGCTCGGATTTGAAACACCCATTCGCGTGAGCATGCAAACGTGATGTTGCGTTGGTCGTAGAGAAACTAACATGACTTCACCCCCAGCATCGACGAACGCGAGCCTAACGATGAGCGACGCGAATCACGGTCTCTCCGTGTCTTGAGACACGAAAATATGAGAAACCGCGTCGATTGTCGCACATAAATACATGTCTCTCGACCTGGATCTCGACGCGTCGTTAGGTCCAATTATTGCGGAGAATCGTAATAAATCCTCACCGGGGGTTGCAGTCAAAGAGCATGTAACAAAGTGCTTGTAGGAATTTGCAAACTGCCGCAGCCAAAGACGTGATAATGATTCTCGAGAGAACAAAGTAACACATATCCATCCGTGGCAACACTTGAGGTGCGTCAAACCTTTGCGCTCCGCTGGTACCGCCGCTGGTACCGCCGGCAAATTTCTCTTTTTGGCCGAAGGGCGTTTCAGCTCCGGATGAGACGACATTTTTCGTCGACGTTATTTTCGGTCTTAACGACTTAGCCAATCGCCGTCGTCGTCTTTACAAGTGCAAGGTGCCAACAAGGGAGCAGAAGGGGTATCACTACCTTGTCTCTGCGCGTTCTCCTCGGAGTTATATAGCACTTTCTCCACCATGCACGTTCTGTTGTATTCCGCGTCTATATCCGTGTCCAACGTGTAATCCAGTGGTTCGTGTTTAGTGCTCTGCAGCTGACTCACGTCTGACGATGTGCAGTCCAACGGCTCGACGTTACCGCTCGACGCGTCCGCGCTTGCACACCTCTCGCTATACGTCGCCTGTATGTCCGGCAGGAGATTGTAGTCGCCAGGCTCTGTGTGAATTTGCCGATGGCTGACGTCACCGACACCTTCTGTAAAGGGTCTCCCTTCCTTTGAACCTTCCGCCGATACGTTCTGCCTTGTCGTCGATTGTTCCTTCTCCACGGTGTGCCTGAACGAGTGTCCATCTGTATGGCCGGGATTATCTTCGTCCTTGTCCAGATAAAAGTCCAAGTCTTTCCAATCTTTCTTCCCCTCAAGAGTATCACTGAACTTCTGTAATAAAATTGTTAATATTAGAAATTATAGTGTCCATTTTTTTTAGAGAAAAATAAATAAATTTCTTTATATGATAACATTTATGTTTTTTGCTTCGAGTAAACTCTCAATTTGTGCTTTATTATTTTCAGCTAGCATTTTTCTGAAGCACTTTGTATTTTTGCATGGATAATTTCATGATATTATAACATACTTCATCTGTTCCTGCTGTCAGTCCTTTTATTTGAAGAGTCTCCGCAACTTTAAGAAAACTGGAGATATCCTCCTGTTTTATATTAACCTCTCCTTGATACATAAAATGCAACATAGATGATAAATCCCGATAACTGATATCTTTCAGTATAACAATAGGATGTTTGCACGAATTCATCTGCATAATACGTAAAGAATATTAGCTGCAATGAAGTAACAAAAGAATTTGAAATTGTTTATAAACATTCTTTTTTTAGCAATACCTTAAAAAGTTCTCGAAAATATGTGCTGCAGACTGACAGTATCAGCTTGTGGGCTCTTAGGATTTGACCTTCTGCTGCCAATGTAACATCCACAAGCTGCTCATCTGTCAACAAAGTATAGAGGCCGGAAGACAAATTTCTTGGAAAGCTGTTCCATACTAAGGAGAATTGTTCACCAGACATTGTATCTGTACATAAAAGATACATATTTGGTAAAGAGGTAATGTCAACTATAGCTTAATTCATAAATACTACATCAAGTCAAATTTGTTTGTACAGTTTTTTCTGTCAATTTTCATTAGTTCCTACTACACAGATCTCAAATATTAATCTATAAATAAAAATTTTCATGCCAGTCTTTCTAAAGTGTCAAAACAAATAACTTAGTACAATAATTATACAGGCCTATGATGATATAGAATGATAAAATTGAAAATTGCATACAGAGTACAAAAATGTGAAGACAAAAAGAACTTCACGGTATTCCGAAGGCTTATTTGAGTGCAATATGATAATCCTTTGTGAATATCAACGGTTTGAAAAAAAGACATCTGTACGTTTACCGAGTTAAGGCTGTGCAACGGGTTTCCGTTGTCTCCGACGATCCTTTGAAGAAGCTTCAGGTACCACCAAATGAATTAATCTTTAACGAACGCTTCGTCGTATAGCGAAGATGACGATTACAACGATGAAACTGCCGCACCGTTTTACGAATCCGCGAGAACCGCCGTTTATATCGCAGCAACAAAGCGAAACACACGAACCGATCGTCGTTCGGGCTCGGGTTACATTGTTCGAACTTTCTCCAGGATTTAGGAGAAAATGTCAGACGCAAAACCACATAACGATGTGGCTTTCGTTACGCACGATAGTCTAAGCAGGTCTGAGTCACTTTGTTATTTGCGAATTACAAAACCAGTGCGCCATAAATCATGCGACTACGGAGCGCCCCGAGATGGCGGCGTGCGCGACACTTGGAGCAATGGCGGATCGGCGCCGCCGCGTAACTTTCCATCAGTTGGTAGTAGAATTAAATATCTCTCTCTTTCTCTCTTTCTTTCTTTTATCCGCCTACAAAAGAACAAGATATAACAATTGATAATAATGATACATTGCAACAATGCAGCCTGCAGATTGCAATGATTACCTACATAAATTGCACTAATATATGTAGCATAAGGTATCATAAATATCTGTATCATAAATACAGGGTGTCCCGGACCAACAGGGACAAACTTCGTGAGAACATCGAACAGACTGAGGTGAATAAAAAAGTCCTACTACCATTTTGTAAACACGCAAAATTTCAAGTTATTAACGATTAAAAGTTGCGTTGTATAGGGGCTTCTTCAATCGATAACCAAAAAATTGATATGTTATTTGCAAAATAGTAAAGGACTTTTTGTCCCGAGTATTTACAAACAGCTGTTGTATCTATAGCGACAGACATCAATATGTTGAACCTCGAACCTGTCTCTGGGTACAACAGCTACCATATATCGTGGATTAGATCATTGAGCAAAATTTCCTTTAACATTTTGCAAATAACACGCATACTTTTAAGTTATCAATTAAGTTATCAATTAAAGGAGCCTCTATATATGGCCATTTTCAATAATTAATAACTCGAAATGTTGTATAGTTGTTTGCAAAATGATGAAGGAGCTTTCTGTTCAGTTTAACCGGTTCTGCACACGGCCGCTTAGTCAAAACTTTCCGGACACCCTATGTGTATATGCATATATAATGAACGATAAATCAATCATTGGCACATTATGCAATATGTATAATACGCTAATGATCTGATAACATATATAACATGTATAATGTATTAATGATGTACAATATATTAATGATCTAACAATGTAGAACAGAGTGATGTAAGTTATTGATATTTGATGCATTGGAAACGCTAACTTGTAGATTACATTTACTCTATTGCTTTCACTGTTTCTTCTCATTGTATCGCTTTAATAACATATCTAAACATATAATGTTGCAATTTAATAGTAATAAAAATATAAAGATTACTTTTGAGCCTCCAGATATTCAATGAGAAAAATAGAGGAAATGAACAAGTAAGAGCAAGAGCACGTATAATCCCCAAAAAATTCTTATATAATCCGAAGAGGTTCAAAATGTCTAGACATTATGATTGCAAATTTTTACGATTAAAGTCGTAATAGTAGTAACTGCTACTTATAATATTTCTCTAATGGAGATATTTTGCTGAGATACTCTCTCAATCGACTCCATTTCATTAATATACGCAGTTTTCAGCTTAATTCAGTAAATTTCACGATATCTAATGTTTAAAAAATATTTTTATTACTTTTCAGAATTATACTTTAATTTTTATTATATTTCACAACATTGAATTTCATGGAAACAATTATGATTTATTTTGAAATATTTATTATTATATATTTCAGTAATTTTTTTCAGTATCTTTCATCTCACTATTCATCAAATTCATGGTATACCAGTATCGTATACTCGAATTTAAATTAAAATATATTGTTGAAATTTATTGAATTTAACTGAAAACTACATACATTGACGGAATAATAATGAAATGGGATCATTTGAGAGAGAATTTTAGTTCAAGTTTAAATTTTTAGCATAATATTTCCATCGGCGTTTACAAGTGTTACAAGTTTGCAAGTATTTTTTATAGCACTATATGATCCCTACTTTCGCTCTGGTCCATACTGGTCCATTTCCTCTTTTTCCTGATTTAATAGTAATAGTAATAATAAAAAATTGCAGAATATAATTTTTTACTACAATAATAAAGCGACAGAAAAAATACGTACATATAAAGAATATAAAAAGTTCTAGCTAATTTTTTCTGCACAATAATCTATTAAGTACCGAATACAATCGCTGACTTCTCAAATCCTTAGATTTAGATTAGGAATTTTTAGATAAATTAAGTAGCCTAACTTCTTGATTCCATGTACTTTTCCACAAATAAATACTTAGTCCTGCTTCCTAGACTTCCTCTGTCTCTAAATCCTGTTTTTCGTGGGCTTTATTTGCGAGAGCCTGCTCCTACGAGTCCTCAAGGTTGCAGACCTCTGAATTCCGGTGAACAATTGAAGGACCTACAATTCATCGATTAACGAGGCTTTGTCGCCGAGACGGAAGCACTTCCAGAGGCCGTAGCGCGTTTGCCAGTCGACGAAGAACAGTTCCGGCTTCTTCCAGAGTACGTGGTGCACCGCGAAGCTGTACTGAGACTGGACGGGCGGGTTTAAATGCGGCGCCCACTTCGCCCGCTCCATCATGATCCTGTTCACGTAGCTGTAGAACACCTTGGCCTGGTGTATCCAACACAACAGAGACATCACGGAAATGATCGTGGCGTGTATGTGGAAGGTCGGGATGTTCGTGCTGCTCTTCTGTTGCTGCAGGGTGATCTCCTGCAGGTTCATGGCGAGGCAGACCAAGGTGGCGGCGGTGAAGCCGCAGGGGATCTCGACGGCGATGAGGCACACCGTGCAATAGGTCGTCTCGAGGTTCATCCGCGACTCTGAGTGGATCAGCAGACTCCTCAGCAGACTGTCGTGCAGTGACTCGCGGTGCAGCTTGAGAAACACTCGGTCCTCTTTGCGGCATACCGCGATACGCAGGTCAACGTGCGTGTGTTCGAAGAAGAGCCTGGGCGTGTCGAAGAGCACCCGGTTGTCCCTGCGATCCAATAAGTACTGCAGCACCCGGTTGCCCAGCAGACTAGTCAGCCGACTAGCTGAACCCACCATTTGCATCAACAGTGGGAAGATCGCCGGTGTGAGGGTGTGCTCATAGAGGCCCGTCCGGTGCATGTAAGCGGCATACTCCAGGGTGCTGCCGAACTCCAAGACAATCTCGTCGTTCGCAGCCGAGGCGGCAGCCACCGTCCACGAGCACATGCGCTGCACGAGCAACAGCAGATGTTCGTTCGGCAAGTGCTTGATCGTGTTCCGCAAGCATACCTCTAGGCTCTTCTTGAGGCTCGCGAGAAACGGTGCCGACGAGGTGAACTCTTCCCTGGAGGTGGTCGTCACAGACCGAGAATTTACTATGCTGGTGTAGAAGAGCTCGAGAATTCTATCCACGGTCGCCAAGGTGTCTTCCGTCGCGGGCCACTCGTGCACATCCAACAGCTCCTGCAGCACCCGGATGACACCTCGAGCGTCTTCGACGCCGAATGTATCCTCCTCCTTCGACGTCTCCAGCAGCTTGTCCCAGATCGCGTGGGTGATCAGACCACCGTTGGCCGCGCTGATGTCCAGCAGGCTGCATATCACCTCGTGGCAGAAGGTCTCGAACTCCCAGAGCCGGTCCCGATAGACGGTCTCTACGACCGCCTCCACGACATCCCGCGACCTCTCCGGCAGGTAGATCCTCAGGAGGTCATGGTAGCAGTCCCGCGCTAGCCGGAATCGCCGCCGGCGCTTCCACTTGCACAGCCGGTCCTCGCGCAGTAGATCCTCATAGCGCAGCATGATCTTCAGCATGCACATGACGAGAGCGCGCGGATTATACGACAGCAATTGCTCCTTCGTCGCGTCCCGGACGATCCTTGTGATCTTATTCAGTATCTTGTCCTGCTGCACGGTCGTCGGCGAGAGAACCGACAGGCAGCTTTCGGAGACCTCGGAGATCCTTTGAGCGAGTTCCTCGCGGGTGATCATCGCCGACCTGACCTGAGATGGCGACGCAAGGCTACTAATGGAATTTTAAGTCTAATGTCGCAGGAGTCGGAGCTCCTGGAAAAATGATACGAGCCTGTTAAAAATGAGGATGATCGCGACGGCACGTGAAGGAGTTGCGATGTAACGCGCAGGGGAGGGGGGGTGATACGGAAATATGCAGAACGGTGAGATAAAATGATTACAGAGATGGATTCTTACTTACGCAGGTTATTAATTTTCAATTGTTTTCAATTGTTCTTTAATGTTAGATCACAGTAGGGACATGAAAATTTTAACCTCCGCGTCACGTTAAATTGTTCATGTTTGGTTCGATCAGCTGTATACCTTCATAAATAACGTAGTTGTCAACTTAACGATCAACTTTAACATATCACTAACGCGTTAAATAATCTATCTTTAAGCATGCGTATGTACGGCATACGATATGTATGTCCTTTATAATAAATGTAACCATTTTACATAAAACACATTGTAATATAAACGTAATGCGCATGTAACTACATGATTGTGCAGAATTGCCGCCGAGCTAGAAAAGATACAATGTACTTTATTCTATATTTACATATCACTGTGTATGTGTGTGTGCGTGCGCGCGCGTATGTGTATGTATGTACATAATGTACAATTAACCTCACGGTTCCTCGTCGCTACCTTGTAGAGAATCTTATCAACTCGCGATTCCCTTAAGCTCACGCTTAATCTTAGGAGATCGACTGTCTGTTATTTTAATAAAATAAAAGGTTTTAAGCATCAAATATATGCTTAAAACCAAAGATCACCAGCGACATCCTCGTCCGGTTGCGACAACTGTTGTTGTTGATTCTGCTGAGCCTCCTGCTTGGATTGCAAATTATTACCGCCCTCAGCGTCGTCGTCGCTCTCGGAAACAGCTAGATCGTCCTGAATCTTGTTCTCGCCCTTATCCTCTCTGGCCGGCAAACCAGCCAACAGAAAGTCCGACGGGTCATAATTGGGATCGACATCCATGCTCTCGTCTGCAAGTGAAAAGTCACAAATGAGATATAATTTATCAAGATAGAAGATGAATTGGCCATACTTTATTTGAGAAAAATCCAATCCACATGGAGTACGACTCGAGAAAAATGAAGATGAAAATTTGATACATGATTTAAAAAGTATAAGTAACAGTGAAGTTCACAATCTCTTCACAATCATTCGAAAAGTCAAGCATCGTCCATTTTCTTCTTTTTAATGATATTAATTGACAAAATTAATCCTTAAAAGATGAGTAAAAGAGATGCAACTAGTAAAAAATGGCATAACCGGTAGAAAATTAAAACTGTTTTCTAGTTAATTTCAGGTACTTACAAGGCTTGAATGTTTTTGTTTTACGTAGAAAGACGTAAACTACTTATTGGTAACAAAATCACAAAAATCATAATTTTGTGGGTTGAATTTTTCTTACATAATTACAGCCCATTGCAAACGCGATTCAAAACATTCAACAAATTAAAAAGGTTTCTGTGTCAACATCGTATTTGAACTATTTTAAGCTAGGCTTCGAAGAATTTTTTTTTACGCAATTTTTTCTTCGAATTGTTAGACCGCCAAACTTCCTCTACTAAAAGAATCTAGAAAAATCACGACATATTAACTGCTTGAAATTATATTTATTATAATAAGTGCGAAGTTTCTTCTGTGCTTACCTTGCTGGAGCAATTGCTGCTCGCCCATGTAAAAACCGACATTACCTAACTGAACCATCGCCTCGGCAGCTTGTTGGCTATCGTCGTCCGCCAACACAACTCCTTCTTCCCTGACCTCGCTTAACTCCAGTGTCTCCATTTCGGTGTGCTCAGAATGCTCGTCTGCACCAAACGGCACTTCGTCGAATTCGTCTTCACTAGAGAATTGTAGATCTGTGATAGAAAAAAAGAAATGTTAAACAATCCACAGCAGGGATATGAAATCAAGTCAAGATTATACACTGTTTCACTTTACCTTCTTCGAGCATATCTTTCTTCTTCGAAACTCTATCAACCTCCGCCTCCATGTCACCATCTGCGTCTACAAAGTCGAATTCGTCCATGTGCGACTTGTCGAATGGATTTGAATTGGTCAGACTCTGAAAACAGATTTCAATGGCGAGTTAGATAGATGAAGAAATTGCAAACGCAAAACATTGATGCAAAGTTCGTTTCGTTTCTTAATCGAAATGTACATGTAACATTTATTTTAAAACGTAATCGATTAAATATGCGTCGCTTTATTCGATGACCTGCCATTTTTCCGGTAACTGCATAATTCCCGCACTTGTAGAAATTCTGAGATTTTTTAGCGAAAAAACTGCTTGAAGAACGGAACGAACTTCTGCATCAACCTAATATACAGGATGACCCGGTATAAGGAGAACATTTAAATATCTTGGAGGCTTAAATATGGAGATCTTGAAAAAAAATCGAAAAAATGACCATAAAAAATTTTCCTTTCACAGTATTCCTCCTTCCTTTCTCATATTATTACAAACAAATGAGACGTTTCGGTGTTCTTCTGATGCTAGAACATCCTGTATATAACGCAAAGATAAGTGTGATCATTACGTCTCTGGATTCGGGTTCCCCTATAGCTTCGTCGTCCGGGCCAAGCCACGAGGGATCTATGTCCGCTTGCTCCATCGCTCGCTTTTGTACGAGCAGTATGTTGTTTTCCAAGTGCGTCAAGTGTTCGTCATACTGAAACCGAAATAAATCATACATCTATCATTCTATCATTTCATCAAATCTATCATTTCTTGGAACTTCTCGTTCTCGATAATCTCTGATCTCAATTTTACCACTTATCCTTCACGATTCTGATATGATGATCAAATCGATATGCAAATATTCGTACCTCGTCCAGAGTCTCTTTGCACACTTTGACCAGCAATTCCGCTTTATTCGTGAAGGGAGAATCCTTGCCATTATAAAGCGTACAATTCTCCAAGATTTGTTCAATATCTCGGAGGAACTCGTGGCGGCTGTGATATTTGTGCGCTAGAGAAATATTTCAGACATGTTAATTTTACGAAAATAAGTGCACAAACATGTAATTCTTAATATCTGTGTAATTCTTAATATCTAATTCTTGTATATCTAATACATACGTATAAAAAAAATACACATCTGAATTTTCCTTACCGGCAACTTTTTTAGATATTGTTTCCAGGTCCATCGGTCTTTTGACGATATTGTAATAATCTTTTACCATCTTTTTATTGACGGGCTTCATGAACGGCCACACATCCGTCATGGATTTCAGTTTAGAGTTGATTACGGTGTCCAAGATGAAGGTGAGAGCAACCTGATCGTTGTCGTCCAGAAGAGGATTGATGGCTTTCTCCAGTCTCATTAGACGATCATCCTTTTCGAACAGCCTCTTGCCGCATATGTCCAACATCCTCACAGCAGCTATAGTCAACGAGCTCTTCATTCCGTTGTAAGTCTTACAATTTTCCACTATCTGATTAACGTCCGCCAGAAAATCTTCTCTGCTCTGATATTTTTTCAACCGCAAATTCTCCCGTATAGTTTGCAGATCCATAGGTCGTTGTATAATCTTGTAATAATCGGGCACAGCCTAGTGACGAATTACAAATAATCAGTAGACATTCGATTATATATTAAAAGTACAAATTTCTTTAATTAAAAATTCTATAATTATACACATGTAAATTATGACTTCACAGATCATACTAATTATTAGAATTCGAGATTTTGAGAGATGAATTATTACATTTGTTTGTTTGTAGTTTAAATTGACACAAAGAGAATAATCGTTCGTTCATTAGTAGTACACATAAATTTATTATTATATAAATTAATAAGAATATGTAAGTTAGAGCTTCTAAGAGCTTCAACTATAATTTCTCATAGATTATGTTCATCGGGATTATTTTATATAGTAAGTTTATATTATCATCGATCATTTAGACGCTTATTAATTATCAAGGACTCTGGTTCTGGAGCAATTAAATTGACGCATTGTTGTAAGTTACTTACTTTAGCGTTCACCGGGAACAAAAATGGCTGCACGTCCGGCAGATCTCTCATTTCGTTTAGGATACTCTCCAGTATCGTTGACATCACGACCACAGGGTCTGTCCTGCGTCTGTTAGCCGGTCTCTGATGGCGTTTCAAATAATCGCAGTGATCGTCGGTGGGAGGTTTCCTACGTTTCTTCGAGTTCACCGCCTCCTTGGGTACTTTCAGCAGCAACGTACGTCTCTTCATCTCCTCAGCGTGCTGAAACAAGTCGAATCAAATTGCATTCCCTAAAATGTCCCTTGGGATCGTCACATTCGGATTTATTAATAACCGATTTCATGCAGTTGCCACGGAAAATGAATTTTGAAGTTCCCTGACTTTTTCATGTTTTCCAAACGACAGTGAAGAATTTTTCATGACCAATATGTAATCTTAAATTTTAACGTTTAGACGCAGGAATTGTAGAAAAGGTAGCTTATATTATTAGGAGCGACATAAACTTAACATTTTGGTAACATAATACAATCCTGAATGTAAATTCAGGCCAACAAAAAATTAATGAATATTGTAAAAAAGAAAAGAATGCAGTTATAATGGAAAAGGGCGATCGAATAAAAGCACTGAATAAAACTGACCAATCACATTCGATTATAGTTGTCGAATAATCAACTCTGATTGTGCTTTTCTTATTGTTTATGTCTTACTGTTTAAATTTTTCTTTGTGCCACAACCCTAACACTAAGAAAGATTTGTCAAGTGCATCAGTTTTGAACGCATTTGATTACAAATATTAAATATAATATTTAAAAAAAAATTATAAGTATTCTTCAGAACAAGAGCATTTAAAGGAATTGTGAGCCAAGTTTAAAATTCCAGGCTCTTTTATATCTTTCCACGACTCTTCCAGGTTTTCCCTGACCAACTTAAATTTCTCCGACTTTTCCCGGTTATCCATGCCGGTGGTAACCCTGTTACGCTTTCAGGATAGAACTCGCGACGCACTCACCTTGATAAGTTTCGATGATAATTTCACCTTGGTACCATCTACATTGACCAAGTCCTGGTCGTCGGTGTTGAGCTGCTTCTCGATCTCTTCCTCCTGCTCTTCGGTCATGGCGACGTTCACAGGCGCGCTGTTGGTTATGCTGTTCTGATAAAGCGGACAGGCCTTGTTCGTGCGCATGTGACCGACGTTGCCGCAGGCACCGCACTTGAGCTTGAGATCTGGTTTGAGTTTAGGTTTCTTACGCTTGGGTGGGGAGACCTCCGGCTTGGGATGTTTGGATGATGTGGAATTGGAAGACTGGAAATTACAGAATGGAAGGATACTGGTCGAAGAGGCAGGAGTGGGCAGGATATTGGAACTGTTGCGGTCAAAGACGCTGCTCGAGCTGCTGCCGCTGGCACCACCGATGCCAAGACCACCGCCGCCGCCGCTGCCGCCACCACCGCTGCCGCTGCTCACTATCGGGCCGCCCAACATACGCTCCCTCTCTTGGTTTCTCTTGATGCGACGCAGCTGTTCCTGTATTCTACGTTTCTCCCGCTTCATTTCCTCCTTCTGAGCGTCGTCCAGCGTGGCGAATTGCTTGATGAACGTTTCGTCCTTCGAGTTGCGGATCTTGATGTACGTGTCGATTACGGCCGGCTTTCTCACCAGTTCGACCCGCGTGAACTCCTTGCCCTCGGGATTACGGAAAGTACGGTAGATCTTCAGCACGCGGCCTTGTTGCGCATTGAAGCTGTTGACCGGACTATCCTCCTCGTCATCCTTCTTCTTGCTGTCTTTGCCTTTCTTCTCCTGCTCCTGCGCCTCACCCATCAACATCTTACGCAGCTCATGCCGTTGCTGCTCCTCCCTCTCCAACGACAGCTGTGTGCTAGTCTTCTTGTTCGACAGCATGTTCTCGATATTCTTGCCCATCTCCTCGATGTCTGAACTATCCTCCTCAGAGCTCTCACCCTCATCTGTGCTCAGAACCTCGTTCGACGAGAGTACACGATTCTGCAGGTCGAAGATTCGCTGACACTCCTCCTTGTAACGCTCCTGATGTTCGGCGATGGAAAAGCGGTTACCACGTGAGAACTTAGTCATGCCTTCTTCGCCTGCCTTTGCTTTCTCCGTCGACAAAGTTCGCACCACATCGATCACCTCCCAACGCGATAGCTTCTTGATCTCGTCTTCCGGGACACCGAACTTACGCAGCAACGCTTTCGCGTTGTTCAGCGACAACCTTCTCAAGTCCGCGTCTGTGCCGGTCACCGTCCTTTTCGGTTGAGCTTCTTGCTCTTCCTGTTCGGGAAACAAAACGATAATTTGATCTGATTATTAGTTTAATTATTAATTTAATCTAACTATATATTATCTAAATTAGGTGTTTCGGTTAATTTTGCGAATTGACGTTGCGAATAGATGCATTATTGAATGAGGATACAACTCAAACGTTCAAAGAAATTTTTATTTTTATAAAAATTTTTTTTCTCGCGTAAAAAAAAAACGCAACACGTTTCTTCGAATCAAAGTTGAACAAACCTTGCTGATGGTAGGCTTATTCGGCACCCTGACGTAGGAGAAACCTTCGCCGCAACCGGTTGGATCGGCTGGACCTGCCAGTTGGAGCAGACATTTCCCTTTCATGGCCTGGATATAGGCGCGCGTCGTATTCCACGGTGCCACCTTCACTTCGTCGTCCATCTTGAGCTGCATCTCCTCGTCGTCGTCGTCCTGCGGCGTGAAGAGGAACTTCTCGCCATATCCGGCGTCCTTCAGCCGCTGTTCCGCCGCGATCATGCTGAAGTAAGAGCAGCACTGCTCCGGCGACACCATAGCGCGAATCTCCTCCTCCGTTGGTAATCTGAAGTCCGGTTTTATCACCCACCAGTTGGAATCCATTCCTAAATCGCACGGGAAATTCACTATAGATTAGCGATTTGACAAGTAGCATGTCTCGTTATAGAAATTAGAAGTATTCTATTAGCAAAAAGGGAAAAAGAAAGCGAGTAGTAGTCCAGGAGCAGTTATGCACCAGTTCTCTTGAAGTCCGCGCATAATTTCAGTCTTTTCCTAATGCTACTTTCGCTGTGGGACGGGAAGGCCTTCTTGATGTCGTCCATCTTAATACGCCGAGGAGTGTCGCGCGACTTCCAGAATAGTCTGTAAATGAACACCTGCAGGAAGTCGCGCACGAAGTTATTCGCCCTCTTCGAGTTGGGTCCTGGTACTTCGTACAACGGGCACTCTTGTCCGGCAACAAATAGTGCGTCCACATCTCTGATGTAATATTGTTGTCTGCACAACGATATTAAAATTAATAAAAAATATTTATAAAGGCACAAAAAAATGTATAATGTAACCAAGAAAGGCGAATTTATAAACTTTATAATACAAAATGAAGAATACAAAAATAAAAAGGCTAATCTAAGCGTTAATTACAAGAGATATAATTATTAGATTGCACATACCTCGTTCTTATAACCAAGAAATCGGTGTCAGGAATCTTATGCTCGTAAATGGGCGCTCTATACATATTATTCTCGACCGCCTGGATACTTTGGCCAGGTGTCAGGATGCCGAGGAACGGGCTGGTGTGAGCATACGCTGTCTCGCCGTATTTATAAGTCTGCGGGCCCTGATCCTTACCGGCTCGCCTCTTGTAATAGTTCTTCACTTTCGAACACATGCCGACTTGGTTCATAAGCGGAGGATGTTCCTCGGAGAACTCGATGAGTACCAATTCACCGTCCCGACCCGTCAGATCATCGGGTGTTCTCATGAAGAACACGTCGCCTCCGCCGGACGAGATTCTCTCTTGCTCCCGTTGCTGAAATGTACGAGAGTCACTTCGTTATAGCCTTATAAATCTTCTTTTCATAACAGTTAATACCTTAGTACAGGATATACCTTAGATTTCTTCTTGATGTGTTTTAGCAGCGGCAAAACACTATGTGGTCCCGGGTGTGCCAGTGGACCGTGGCTGAACCTTCGTAACGGAGGCCTGTGAAAGTTCCTCAGTCGCATCGGGCCCATGTGCGTCTGCACGAAAGGAACACGCAATTCCACCACCGGAGTGCTGTGCTGTATCAAATTGCCGCCGCCGACTTTAAGTCTTAATGTAGTTTCCGAGGATCTGGGCATGTAGTACCTAAACGAAGGAGAGACAAGGGGAAAAAATTATATCAACGCACTGGAAGAATTTCTCAACCGGCGATGATTCATCGCACGATTTGAATACACGAAAGAGAAAGAAGAATAGAAAAAAGACTAGACTCACGTGTCATTTGATATGTTGAACGGGTCCCTGTCAGGCGACTTGGGCGGTGGTGGAGGTGTGTCCTCTTCCAAAACGTTGATGACGCCCGCTTTACCTAACAGTAGCTTGCTCTTCTTGACATGCGGGTGCGGAATCTTCACCTTAGGCTGTGGCCCGTTATCCTTATGCAAAAGGGCCGGATCAATATCGTCCGGTATGCCCAACACAATGTTCTCGTCGTTCGGGTCCAACGTGAGTATCTTCGGCTTGGGGATCTTCTTCATTTTCTCCGGATCCCAGATGACTTCCTCCTCCCACAAACCATAAACCAGTTCCTCGTTCTCCACCGGAAATATCGAGTACCAAGTGTCATCATAGTTCTCTTCCCGTTGTTGCTGTTGATTACCTTTGCCCATGTTCCTGTACCGCAAAACATAACATAACGTATGTTATGAGGATATCAATAATTCTTGCGCTCGAGTAAAATTAAAGTAAAATTCGAATCATCTATTGAGTGTTTTCGTTGGATAATTTTAAGTTCTCGTACATTTTAGCCTTTTGTGACTGCATGTGGAGCGGCGTTGTGATTTGTGAGGTGGCCAGCCTGACATTAGGTGCCACGGTGACCGGAGCACCCTTTCCTGGTTGGCTGAAAGCTTGCGCGGTTCTGTTGCCACTCGAAGGCACCCAACCGGCTGCGTTGTTTTTGCTGTTCAACTTCTGCATCACCTTTGCGCGAGGCAAAGAACAAACGTTACTACTTTGATTGTCCGTTCTGGGTATCGGTGTAACAGTAAAATAATAGTTCATCATAAAATTACCTTATGCTTTATATCGTCTCCGTTCCAGACGACGTCGTCTTCCCAATGCAACTGCGACACCATTAAGAATGCGTCGTCGGCGAATTCCTCATCCTTAATATTTTCCTCGTTTTTAGACTTGTCTTTAGACTTATGTTTAGACTTGTCTTTTTCTTGATCCGATTGTTCCTAGATCAAATTCAATGCGATTAAAAATATTAGCACGAGATATCCGATATTCACATAAGAAGAACAGTGTAATGCATACTTTCTCGAACATCTTAAAACCATAGTTGAAACCGTCCCCAGTTTCTGGAACTTCCAGCATGTCGTACCAAAGCTGTGCGGGCCCGAACCTCCAGTCAGCTACCTTGGGTCCCATGTCGCCATTTTCTCCGATCTCGCCAGTTTTGCCGGTTTGCTCTTTGTCTTCCACTGGTAAAAGCAGCTTGGCTTCGTCATCTGAACGACACATGTCTGCAGTCGGTTCGGGGCCATAGTGCATAGTCCAGCCCTAAAACGATGGAATATTACGAATATGCTATTCGGCAAGCCTTCTTTTTACCTCATAATATGTTTTGTACTTACTTTAAATCTAATCCTCCTCTCTTCCTGGTCAGAACCAGAATCGGAGTCTCTGATATCATGATGTTTTCTCTTCTTTCGTCGTTTCCTCACACCTCTCCAGATCTGTGGCAGACTGCTTGGCTTGCCCGGGCCAAATAACCTGGAGAATCTGAGAACTTTGTTGGCGCGAAAATCTGGGAATAATTCAGTGACATCGGTATTGGCATATTTAGAAGGCAACATGGCTGCAAGTGGTGTCTCCAGTTTACGCTGACGTACTGCCTCTGCCTCCTCCTCAGTTAAAATCTCTTTTTCCTCAGGTACAGGTGGAGGAGGCATCAATTGCTTATCCAACTTGCTGACAACCTCTTCATCATCGGCATCGTAATCAGCATTTTCTTTGTCTGATTTCTTATCAAACTCATTGCTCTTGTCTAAAGAAAAATCATATATATTTCTTGTGATTTTTATTCAATATAGTTTTTCATGTTCTAGTTATTTATAATTATTGGTTTTTTGCTAACTTTACTGGTCTAACCATGGGTTTTAATAGGTTAATATTCTAGTTATCCTATAAATAATTGTATATATATTGATTAGTAAAATTTTTAAATATCCGATATTTTATAAAAAAAAATTTCAAATTAATTGTAAAATGGTAAAGCACTGTATGTTTAAATAATGAATATATTTTAAATTAAATTAAATATTTTGTTTTCATTTATATTTGAAGTTACAAATATATAATTATTTCTGGGATGACTGATATTTTTAATTTATAATATATGTATAATATATATATAAATATAATAAGTACATATGTTTGTGTGTGTGTATGTGTGTTATAATCATACTAACAAGCTTCATCATTTGCATCATCTGCCAACTCGTTTATGTCGGAGAAATCTTGAGCAGTGGGTAACTTGACAATAGAATCTGCATCTTTATCACTCTCGACTTCGTTCTCCTCGTTCTCATGTTCTGCCTCATTATCTTCTTTCTCCTCATTTCCTGATTCATTTTGCATCATTTCACTAATAAAGGATTTTAATCCAAGACGACTAAGTGAAGATAATTGTTGTTTAGCTTCAGGATCCAGAATGTCATCCTCTAATTCACCATTGTCATTGATGTTACCAAAGAGGAAGCCAGTGATATTAAGGCCAGACACCAAGTCTTTATCATTTTCTTCTTCGGAATCTCCCATCTTTTCTTTTTTTACTGAGACCTACTTTACCAAAATCAATTATCAATTTATTCTTTAAAATATTGTCTTATGTGAAATGAAAAGACAAAATAGAAAGAAACACAATAGTACAGTAGGAGAATGACCAATCATCATTTCATTCCAATTTCAGATGTCTATGGTTTCCATTCATTAGAATGGAAATTCACAAAAGTAAAAAATCAATTGTTATTAATTGTAGTTAATAAAAGTAAAAATTAATATTATAAAAAAATAGGTAACTATAATTTAAGTCTCAACAGTGGGAATAGCGTTATAATGTATCTATAAAAAATATAACAAGTTTGAGGTTAGAATTCTATTTTTTCCATAATATGTACTGCATGGGAATTTCGGCCACTTGAAGTAAAAAATGATAAATGATAGATTATTTCCCCGTTATATTTCCTTTCCTTTTCGCTTTTCCGTTGTACACGGGAACGGTATTCTTACAATGTAAAATGTATAGTCTTACCAGGTGTGTACAGTAGTTCCGTAACTCAATTAAAAATCAACGTAATGCGCCGTTTTCGTCGTGGATGAACATATTCGTTATCACGATATGTGAGAAAAGTATCAAGCTTAATTCCTATTAATTATTCTTGATACACACCACACAGAGAGTACCGGTCTTATATTTCGTTTACATAAATGGACAGGTAACGACAAACACCCCGAAAAACGAACAGAAATCAACTAACAATGGCTGCGACAAGAGACGCACGCACAACTGATTCGATGCATTGAGTATGAAATAACAGAAGACACGTATGGTTAATAATACTATAGTTAAGGCTCGTTTACAATGAAGTCGCAGATCAGCAGATCGCAGGTACAGTCGTTCAAGTCGGTTCACTTCCAATTCGCACTACTACGACCAATCTAATCACTAGAATTGGAAGCCGATCGACTCGTGCCACTACACGACTAGAGTTGGGCGATACAAGGTCTGTTCGTTTTCGCTACACCGTGAACTAGTGCAATAAGTTGAAGTGAGAAAACATATACTTATCTCGCTTCAACTTATTGCACTAGTTCAGCGGTGCAGCGAAAACGAACAGACCTACAGTCTCAATACATAGGGAAATAGGGTTTTCTCCCAGAAAAATAAAGTTTTCCTTCGCAAATTGTGGAGGAAAATATTATTTCCCTATGTATCGATATTGTATCGCTCAACTCTATGATTTAAATTTGATCGACGATTAAGGCCCGGATTCACCAATGTAATTTAATCAAATCGGTCGATTAAGTTCAATTTGTCTGTTAAAACCATTAAACTAAAGAACATACTGGAATGAACACTGCCTTTGTTTCTGGCAAATGACCTAGTGCTGAGAGAGAAAGTATCTAAGTAGTATTCCCGTTTTATTAATGATTGAAATTGACTAATCATATCTAACAACGATGCGATTGGACAATTTCAACGAAAGAACTGAATTTAATTGACCGATTACGGAATTGACCAATTAGCTGAACTGATCAATACGATTGGTCAATTCCGTTGAGATAATCGTCGGTTAGATTTAAATTATGATGGTAGAAATGAGCATAAGAAAATACACAAGATTGGAATGTTCATCACATTTGATAAAATTAGGAAGTAATATCTATTATACTTTAGGTGTAAAAAGTGTAAAAAACAGATTATAAAAAAAACAGATCTACCAGTTGAATAAAATACTTCCACCAAGAGCAATATGTTGTCTATTTTTTCCCCTTTTTTATCTCTCAATATATAAAATATCTTTTATACATTTGATTTTTAAAATCAATAATAATACGTTAGACTTTTTTAGTCTTATTTTTTGTAATAAATAAAGCAAGTAAAATACATTTTCTTGTAATAAATAAAGCAAGTAAAATACACTTTCTTACAGAAATACAATTGATTTTTATTTTAACGTTATTACATATTCTTATTCTACTTCTAAATTTTGATAAAAATATTACATCTGGGTATGCCTGCTGCGCTTCTTCTGCACGCAGCGATGAACACAGAGATAGGCCTGCGATGGCAGAATTTGTTTGCCGTAAGACAGGTCTTTTTCTGCATTCATCGCTGCGTGCAGAAGAAACGCATCGAGGAGAATGTACTCAAGCCGTTCCGCAAACGAGTACACGTGCCCGATACTTATTTCTATACACATCGTGTCGCAGACAACGAACAATTTCCAGTGATCAAGGTGATGAGCGTTAATCTTCTGTCTCGTACGCGGGCGACGCCGGCGAATACGTGGGGCTCGTGGGCGAATACCCCGGTACCGGCGGCGAATACGTCGGACTCGTCGGTGAGTAACTCGGACTGGTCGGTGTGTAAGTGGGAGAGGTGGGTGAGTACTTGGTGCTCGATGGCGAGTACTGCGGGCTCGTGGGCGAGTAAGTCGGACTGGTGGGTGAATAGTTCGGACTGCTCGGCGAGTACCTGGTGCTACCGGACGCGGTATGCTGCGGCGAACTGGGCGAGTACGACGGACTGGTCGGCGAATACGTGGGACTGGTGGGCGAGTACGTGGGACTCGCGGGTGTGTACTGCGGCGACGTGCCGGCGAAAGACGGTGAAGTGGGCGAGTAGCTCGGCGAGGTGGGCGAGTATTTGGGGCTGCTGGGAGAGTAGCTGGGACTGGCCGGCGAATACTGCGGCGAGCTGGGCGAGTAGCTCGGCGAGGTCGGCGAGTAACTCGGCGAGGCGGGCGTGTAGTTCGGCGAGCTGGGCGAGTAGCTCGGTGACGTCGGAGAGTAGCTAGGCGACGTCGGCGAATAACTCGGCGACGTGGGCGAGTAACTCGGACTGGTGGGCGAGTAACTCGGTGACGTAGGCGAGTAACTCGGACTGGTGGGCGAGTAGCTCGGCGACGTCGGTGAATAACTGGGCGACGTGGGCGAGTAACTCGGGCTGGTGGGCGAATAGCTCGGCGACGTTGGTGAGTAACTGGGCGACGTCGGCGAGTAGCTGGGCGAGGTGGGCGAGTAGCTGGGCGACGTGGGCGAGTAGCTAGGCGACGTGGGCGAGTAGCTGGGTGACGTCGGCGAGTAACTCGGGGACGTCGGCGAGTAGTTAGGACTCGTTGGCGAGTACGTTGGACTCGTGGGCGAGTAGTTCGGGCTCGACGGTGTCATGCTGGGCGACGTGGGCAGGTACGCGGGCGAAGTGGGCGAATAGCTGGGCGAGGCGGCGCCCGCCGGCGACATCGGGAATGGGCTCATGCTGGGACCTGGACTACCAGGACTACCAGGTTGCGGCGAGTAGGCAGAGTAGGCCGGAGACATGCCCGACGCGTCTGAAGCGCCCGACGGTGAGAAACAGGCACCTCCGGGCGTCATACCGCTGCTCATTGCTGTAATAGAGAGAAGGCAAATATTTAATGACATCTTATTCTATAACACGCATGTTTTATGTTGCCATTGAAAAGATACTCGATAATATTGGAATATTCTTGCGTTAGGTATTGATGTATTAACACTAATAGTTTATCTCAATTTTGTATTCATAATCAGGATCAAATCAGGATCAAATTGGAAAAATTAATTAACGATTGTAAGAATATGTGTAAAATCGCAAAATTATACAATTTCATCTATTTGTTTTTTCTTATTTTTCAAAAATATTCTGGTTCACCTATTGATAATTGGTTTACCTTATATACTTCAATTATTTAATTTAATTATTTAATTTCGCTCGAAGTTATTCGTTGAAAATCTTTTTATCTTTAAAGACAAGAGAAATTGACACGTGCGAGACCTACCAGGTGACATGCTCGACGCTCCATAACCGGGAGTAGCTCCCATCCACGGTGTCATTTGAGGACTCATGCTGGATATGCCAGGAACACTGCCGAAGAACATTCCAGCCGATCCCATCACGCCCGCGCCGACCGCTATAGGAATTTCAATGCCAGCTTTGCATTTCTCGGCGTCCAGCAGTAGATCGAAACAACCTGAACGCATATAGAAAGACAATGTTGCATCAGAATTATTATAGTGAATTACTTACTATCTTAAACTTCACATTATAATTGTAAACATAACGTATGTTATTGGGCTTTGAGATATATTTATGTATTTTCCGTGTAAAGATTCGTGAATGAAAATCAGAGTACAAGTTGCACTTGTTCGAGCAAATATTTCGCGAAACACGGAAGGACGGCTACTGCGTTACCTGTTCCGATGCGTGGAAGCTGACCCATTATAATATTCTCAGATACTCCTCGCATTGGGTCAACTTCTGCGTGAGAAGCGGCGTCCAGCAACACGTCGACTGTTTCTTCGAAGGAACATCTGAAACGATTCAGCTTTCTCATTAAATAAAAATCAAATAATACTGGAATTTGCGAATCAACAACAAGAGAAAAAAAATGTAGAAGATCGTGAATTTTAAATTATACAATTGGCGATACGCTATAATTCGGAAAATATTCCTTCTCTTCTAGTATAAAGAGCGCGAGCTTGACATAACAGACTAGCGCACTGGTTTACTATACTAGCGGTCCCGGGTAAAAGCTAAAATATTTACGCTCGTGTCTCCTCTCGGAAAGAACCTACCGAGAGTATTTTTGTCACGAACGTCTTTCTAAACAAAATTGCCGCTCAAAACCGGCGTTGTTAAACGTCTTTCGACCTGTAGGTCCCATATTATTTATATACTATCAGCGTAAGTCAATCAGAGAGAGGTCACTACGTTTCTATTAAGAAACAATAGAACTGAGAAGAATATAAAGTAATTCGTTAAAAATTTTAATCACAGCTAAATATTCCGAAAAAATCAATGATTTTCGCGAAAATTCCAGGAAACAGAGAAAGTAACTTACGAATGGAAGCACCGACTCGACAAATCGAAAAATTCAAAGGTCTCGGTGGAAGACAGAATTCGCTTACTGACCTCATAAGAGCGCCCGTGTCCTGCCTGTTGATTCCATGACGAGTGATGGCCATAAGATGACCCTTCGCCGTCATGACGTCGCAAAGTAAAGCGAGATGACGGTAATTCACGTAGAGGCCGTAGAACTGCAATACGGCGTTCATCTCCTTCTCCACGGACTTACGCACAGCCTCGATGCCGAGCACTTGGAATATCTCGCAGATATCGTTGCTGAATGTCCGCACGGGGTCGACGTCGCGTTCACTAAGCACTTTCATCAAGCTCGTCCCGTCCGTTTCCAAGAGCCACTCAGCGATTGCCTTGAACTCTCCGGTCTCCGTGATAACGATGCGCTTTTTCGAGTCCGTTTGCGGCAAGTGCATGTACACTTTTCCAATCGCTTCGATACCCTGAAATAAAACGTTAGACAAAACGTTTAATTCATATTCGCGAATTCTCTGTGATATATTTTATAAATGGATAATTAAAAAGGTTAGAAAGATGAAAATTGAGAATTAGAAATTAAATAGTAATAAAATAAAATAACGAATAGAAGATGTAAAAAATGTGAAACGTATAAACTTGACGTGTCGCTCATCTTATGACGATCTGTACCTGAAGAGTCATGTCGCTGAGCATGTTGGCCTCGATACACCGCAGGAACATATCGTCCTCCATCTTGTCCATCGGCTCCTCGTCCGTTTCCTGGAACTTATTGTCGTCGCTGTTCATTATTCTGATACGCAGAACCAGCTTTTCGGCATTGTCGTCGTTGAATATGCAGTTGAGGTCGTCGCCGAAGCCGGCGTTGATCTTCTCGGCGATTTGCTCCATAGTCAGCTTTTTGTCGGTCATGCGTTTTCTGTCCAGCTCGATACGCAGCAGCCACGGCGATATCTTTGTAGGGTCGAAGTCCGGCATCTCGTAGTACACGTTAACGAACTCCTGGTCCTCCGCGATCACCGTGTTCTGCGGATCCGGGTCGTAGTAGATCGCGGTGTTGGCCGTCACCTTCTTCAGGGTCGTATGTTCCAGCCGGCAGAGCACGTTCTTCGCTTTCTCGGCGTCGCGCGCCGCGGCGCCCGTCAGAAAGACCGTTAACGACGGTGCCTTCGGTTTCTTACTAATGTTAATGATTTCCTTCAGCCTCGGTACACCGAGAGTTACGTTCTTCGACGACACACCGGCAAAATGGAAAGTATTCAGGGTCATTTGCGTGGCCGGCTCGCCGAGTGATTGCGCCGCCAAGGCACCGACCATTTCTCCGGGTGACACCTGAGATTTATATTCTTCTATCAGACAATGGAAAGCTTTCAAGTTGCTTTACACACTAATGAAAAAGAATTTCCAGAATGTTTAAACGGAAGAAAAAAAGATTCCTGAGAATTCCCCGATTTTCCAGGAAATTTATTAAAAATTCCAGGTAAAATGAAAGTAATTTTAAGTGTATCTTGTAAACAAATATGTATTTATAAAGTACTTGATATTTTTCATTCTTATAATACTAACCTGAGCTTGTTGGAATCGCGTTTCAATTTCGCCGATCAACCATTCGAAGGCTTCGCCGGAAAGCCTAAATTCCTCGGAGACGACTTTCGTACACAAGGTTGATCTTACGAGACACTGGAACAATAATGTTGCGTTTTCGTTTGCCTGTTTGCTGAGTCGGTCATCCCCGGCGACGATAATACATTTATCTAAAAGATCCTTCACGCCTGCAAACAAAATAGAAGACGCAAGTTACATCATGTTGCATTAAGCGAATTAATTGACACTCAGTTGATATGTGCACATCTGTTTAACAATGAGATTATAAGTAGGGATGTTGTGAAAGTACCACCATGTAAATGTCAACACTAATATTGAAATGGGTATCTAATCAAGAGAATCAATATCATTAGTGATATCAGTATCAGAACAAAAATATCAATACCGATACCGGTGTCGAGATTTAAAAAAACGTAAAATTAGAGGAATATAAAAATCAAAAATCTTAAAAAGGATGTGTTAAGGCTTCTGTGTCCTTGCTGTGACTGTTCTTGTTTAATGACGTGAGAAGTGAGAAATCGCATGTCCAAAATTATTGCGGTATACGTGGAAATAAAACATACGCACAAAATGACACTCGTGATCGACTCCGCACACTTGTAAAAATGTCCGAACGTTTTCCTTTCACTCCAACAACCAATAAATAACCGTAAAATTAATGTAACGGAGATCACAAGAAAAGATACATTTAAAATGTAAGTTGCATGATACACTAATTTTGGCAAACCTGAATATCTTCGCGAAACGTTTGGAATGGGAAATCGCGTTTTGTCAGACAGACAGACAGTCGGATCACGAACCTTGAATCACTCTCATGGGGCTGAGATCAGTTGGCGCTCTTTTGTTGATGTGGAATATCTTCTGCACGTTCCAAATCATCCTCTGCAGATTGCAGGGCAACACCACCTTGGATTCCCCGCTGGGGAAGATCTCGCGGAGGACGGCGCGGTCCCTGTTCAACTGCTCCCACTCTCTCTCGAGCTCGGAGATCACCTCGCCGGAGCCCATCATCTCTCGGACGATGTCCTCGTTGAATATACGCCTGAGGTATCGCTCGTTGGTCGGGTCAAACTTGAACTTCTTCTCGAAGGCCTTGTTGCTCACCTTGATGGTGGGCAAGTTCTGGAACTCAACAGTCTCACCGCAGAGGCCGTCCTCGCCGTAACGCAGCTGGATCAGCTGGCCGACGGAGTTCCTCACGGTGCCATCGTAATGCACCATCACCGACTCCATAGCCTTGATCAGACGACGTTGGATGTAACCTGTCTCGGCCGTCTTCACGGCGGTATCGATGAGACCTTCACGACCGCCCATCGCGTGAAAGTAGAACTCGGACGGCGTGAGACCAGCGAGATACGAATTCTCGACGAAGCCACGGGACTCCGGCCCGTAATCGTCCTTGATGAAGTGCGGCAGTGTCCGTTTGCGAAAGCCGAACGGTATACGCTTACCCTCGACGTTCTGTTGACCCACGCAAGCGATAACCTGAGAGATGTTAATGTTGGAGCCTTTCGAGCCCGACACCACCATGGCCTTCAGGTTGTTGTACTCGGTAAGGGATTTCTTGGCGGAGCCTCCGGTCTTGTCACGAGCGTCGTTCAATATTCTGTTCACCTGGTTCTCGAAGGTCTGACGCAGCGTGTTACCCGGGGTGGGCTCCAGCTCCATGTTGTGCGCCTTTTGTATAACCTCTATCACGTCCTCCTTCGCCTTCTTAATCGCCTTCTGGATCTCCAAGTAAGTCTGCGGATCGGCGATGGTGTCGCCAATACCGATCGAGTGGCCCTCGAGCAGCAGCCAGTTATTAATCACGGTCTGGATGTTACCGTAGAAACGTCCACACACCTCGTGGCCCAACTCCAACATGCAGATGTGAAGGAGAGATCCGGCAGATGTACCCAGCGTCTTCTTGCAAAGAATACCCATCACAAGCTCGCCGTGCTCCACCATGACCTTGGTGTCGCCCGGCGAGATCCACTTGTACGGGCCGTCGTCCTCCTCATCCGGATGCGTACTGTGCGTCCGTATCATGTTCACGTTCCCCGGAATGATGAGCGAGAACAGCTGCTTGCCGGTCCACATCGGCTTCGGCTTCAGGATACACGGCTGCGGCATCTTGCCGTCCCAGCTCGGCAGGAACATGAGCAGATTCATCATCTGCTCTTTCTCGATGAAGACGTCGCGCTTCGTCATCTTCCTCACGGCTGTCAGGGTATCCTGCACAATACCCATGACCGGTTTGTTCGCCTGCGGCGTGATGATCTGCCGCGGGGTCACGTGGATGTTCTCCACTTCGGCGCGAGTCTCCATCGACTGCGGCACTTTTAATTCATAAAAATTTATAGTTAGTTAAGTTATAAGCCACAATATGATACTGTTAATCACAAAGTAAAATTGAGAGTCACTCGAGTTTTAACCCTTAGCTGATACACGTCAAAATAATAAGGTATGTGCTATAGGGGGTATTTTGGACCCCAGCGAGAAAAAATGTGTATAATTGTTTTATTTATCGATATTGGGTCAAGCCTCGACTAATACTAGGTGACGCCACAGAACCAAATTTGGCGCGCAATTATAAAAAATTTGCGTTCAAAAACACTCTAGGGTACTTTTAACCCCGTGTGTCAGCTAAGGGTTAATGATGAAATTTGGGAAATTCTAAAAGAAACTGGGAGGACTCTGGAAAATATCAGGTGATAAATATATTTTTGTATTGTGTAAAATTTTCAAATTTTTTACCATGCATGTTCATTTCGTCGCCGTCGAAGTCTGCGTTGTACGGGGACGTGCAGCTCAGATTCATACGGAATGTACTCCATGGCAACACCTTGACACGATGGCCCATCATACTCATCTTGTGCAGAGTCGGCTGGCGATTGAAGATAACCAAATCGCCGTCACGGATGTGTCGCTCCACCCGGTAACCACACTGTAGATGCAGATCAGACGACTTCGGGTGGAAACGCAGGTCGATCCTCTCGCCGTTGTCGCGGACTATGTATTTCGCGCCGGGATATTGCGAATTGCCACGTCTAACCAGCACCTGCATCTTGTCGATGTTGAAGGGCGTCACAATCTCCGGGAATGTCAAGTTCTGTGCTATGCTGCGCGGCACGCCCACTTGATCGATCCGCAAGTTGGGATCTGGCGTGATGACGGTACGTGCGGAGAAATCTACACGCTTACCCATCAAGTTACCTCGGATTCTGCCTTCTTTTCCCTTCAATCTGGCTTTGATTGCCTTCAACGGCTTGCCAGACTTCTGCATCGCCCTAGGCATGCCGGGCATATCGTTGTCGACCAGGGTTGCCACGTGGAACTGCAACATCTTGATGTTCTCCGATATCACGTGCGCTGCTGCGCCGGACTGTTCGTTGCGCAACAACTCGTTGTTCGACTTTATTATGTCCGCCAATTTGTGGGTCAGATCGTCTTGATTCTTGGCGGAGCCGTACATGATTACCGCCGGCCTCACCGACAACGGTGGTACCGGCAACACAGTGACTATCATCCAATCTGGCCGGGCAAACTTCGGATCCATGCCCAGAATGAAGGACTCCTCATCTTTGATGTGCTTCAGGATCTCCCAGGCTCGCTCGGCCGTGAGCACTATTTTCTTCTCCTGCGAATCCTCGTTCACGTGCTTCCATTCCGCCGTGACATCCAAGCCGGATCTCCTGAGGTTCGGCTGATAACGGCCACAGCCGCCGTGACCGGGTTTTCTGTCTAACGGCTGCTGGTTCTCCGCATTTTCTTTGTTGATATCCATCTCGTCCCCACCTTCGCAAATGTTTTTGCTCTTGCACAGATCGTAAATGTGCGTAAGCCTCTTCCGCGGCTGCCCCTTCGTTTTCATGATGACTTCTTTTATTTTGGGATTTTGCTGTAAATATATGAAACAAATAAATAGCGTCGGTAATTAAAAAATGTTAATACCCTTGATATTTCATCTTACATACAATTTTATTTATCATAAAACTTCTAGTTAACTTATTTATTTATCTTTAATATATGTTGGATTAAATATTGAGAATTACATGACTGCGACTAATCTTTAAGGTTTTAACAAAACTTAACTTCTTTAAGAAGAAGGTGAAAAAAGGCGCCAAATGTACGCATTCTGTACAAATAACGAAATCTAACGAAACCTACATAACATTTAAAAGCATTTCATTTTATTATTTTATCTGTGTTGACCACTATAAAAATAACAATATCAAGAGAATTGCACCAAGTGAAGCTTCCACCCACTCACTTTCATTGACACCTCATTTAGTTCTCAAAATATTAAACTTCTAAGATTTCGCACCTATTCTTTCCAACTAACGCCATCTAGCGGAATATGAAAGAATTATTGATAAAAAAAGAAAAACATTCAATGACGCATCTAAATGTAAAAATAATTAATATTTTAATTTTTACTTTAAAATAACTCAGCTCACAGAATATTTAGAACAAAAAAAATATCATATCTTGTATTTATTATGTGAATAATATGTGAAATATGTATTTGCTAAATTGATTCAGCCTACTTAGAATTTGATCCAATAAATCATTACGATGGTACAATCATTTGGTCACCTCTCAACTAGAACAGTGATGTAGTTTATACAAGTTTGCTTTACGTGTGCACTTGGCACAAGACACTACTGTCTCTTAATATTATCTTATTTAAGGTATTTTGTAAGCTAGTTAACTTACAGGACTGACGAGCAGCTTAGAACAATAGAAGCATACACATCTCAATATCTTAATAGTCTTCGTCAAGAATCCCACGTGAAATACTGGTTTCGCAAGATCTATATGACCAAAATGACCAGGACATTCTGTCATATTTCCAGCACATGTTTGGCATCTGGAATTCCTATCAATGACACCCTGTCTTGGATCCATGAGGCCACCCAGTTTTGGACGGCCACCTTCCATGGTTTCTGGGAAACGGATCCCAGTATCCGTGACAGACATGCGACGCTGCGCAAAACAGAAAGATTAATGATCATGTAAAGCAAACATAAGGATTGCATGTGAAAGTTCAAACCATCACATCACATCAATAAGACTTGGTTATGATTATATTTGCATAATGATTCCGTAACTTTACAAAATTTGAGGTTTCTTAAGAATTTACTGTTCGTTTTATAGCGACAAATCCAACTTTCATGTTTTGATCGTAAATATTTTGCAATATATAGTATAATTTAAATTTTAATGAATTCAGAGAAAAGAATTCAATAAGTCGCGTATTACAGACACAAATTTAACCCAATCATGTAAACAATATTTGCAATGTTTACATTCGTAATGTGAGTCAAATTTGACCAAAACTGCAAAAAAAGATGCACATTCAAAATAAATAAAAAATAAGATGATTTGAGAGCAAAATTGCAGATGTATAAGTGTATATATGAACTGTTTTATACTCGAGTATATAGATCACGATTCAGATCGAAATATCAATCGTCTTATTTTTCGCTCATTTTGATGCAACCCAAGACCCGTCAAAGATGTTACATGCACACTAAATTTCCAGAAATTTTCTCGTCGGAATCGTCGTCTGAGACACGCCTCGGGTTACGCGATTTGCGCTAGACGATCTCATCGGAATAGATTCGTGCTTCGCAAGAATCACCTCTTCTCAAATGTTTTGTAATATTTAAAAAAATACTTACGATTTCATCTGGCGAAAGAATGCCAAATTGCACCCGCTTGACAGTACGCAAAGGCGCCTTCGAGTCCGAGGTCGCCATTTTACTGCGGACGGGATGCTGCCCGATCACCTTCTGCGCCGCAGGTCCGCAACGAACTCGCTCAGCCGCTCGAAGATTGCGCCCCCCTGTTCGACGTTACGCGTCATTATTTGCGGACTTTTGTGACGTGGAACGTATCGAACACACCGATTGGCTATTTGTTAGAGAATCTCTAAAAGTGGCCAATCAGCACGCTTCACTAGATTCGTTGTAACCAATGGCTGCGTCCCGTAACTATAGCAGAAGCAATTAATTCAACCAAGATGAGAAGCATACACCAATCAGATTCACAAATTTTACAACAGTTGCAAAGTTGCTTTCTCTGCTGAACGCAGACAATGAAGCTTAGAACGCTTCCAAATCGAACGCAGTCTTAATCTCATAACTCAACTTATCTCTTTATTATCTCAATTAGACGTTTTTGAAAGAATAACATTTACACGGTGACAATGAATACGAAGGAAAAGGAAAAGTATATCGAGGAATTTGATTTTCCGCATTGCGACGAGTCCTCAAAATACGAGAAAGTTGCCAAAATTGGCCAAGGAACTTTCGGGTAAGTGTAACATCTGGTGGAATTGTACTTCAGGTTATGTTAAAATATAACATTATGTTAGAATATTACATCAATTGTTTCTATCTTTTTGTAATATTGTGCTATGATTCAAACGTTTCTATTGAAAGCAATTATTTTACGTGGATTATTGTGATGTTCTCGAATTATTTATATATTTTTTTATTTTATTTTAGCCATTGTAGTCTATCACACAGATGACACAGATTCTATGCAGAATACTTAATATAGAATATCTAATAAGCAAAATGTTAGTAGTATGCCGGCAGGTTGGCAGCAAATTCGATCAGAGTATCATGGCAAATCCATAGCCATCTGTGTCTGCATTAAGCTTGTGTTTCTGTCACAGAGCTGCTGAAATGGCTTGACAGCAGAAACCGAGCAGAATCTGCAGTATGTTCCATTTAAATATATTTAAATGGTTTTTTATGTTGTTTAAACGGAACGGACAAATCCTGCTCGGCTTCTACTGTCAATCTGCCATCATACTTTGCTAGCAGATCCTGTTGTATTTCTGCTAACAAGCTGCCAACAAAATTTACAGCAGGCTCTATGCGAAATCTGCTTCTGCAGGTTTGGCTATCTGGGTATATATTTGATTTATTGTTTCCAAATACATTGATTCCGAGACATAGAACATAAATATAAACATGATGCACAGAACATATAATTTAACTTTAAGATAGAATTTGTTGTATTAATAATCGTTACATGTCTGAATGGTATATGGATTTTCTAAAGAACCTGTTTGTGGCTTGATTTATTAAATGTTTTATTATTTTTACTAAGTATAAGAATTTTGAGAGTAAAAGCAATTAAAATTTTATCTAATATGTTGAAAATTTAGGCCTAATGGGACATAAATTCACCATGGTACTAAGGTCAAGGTATTAAAGATCTTATAATTATATAGCATGACAAGGATAATGATCTTTTGTTACATATTACGCGTTAGTTGGATTTATAACATGAAGTATATTAACAATATGGAGATTAAAATTGCATTTATAACTTAAAGCATATAATGGGGAACAATATATGTATTTTATGTCAATGTCTAATTTTATATTTCACTATATTGCCCAATTATTTTACAGGGAAGTGTTTAAAGCCAGAGACAAGAAGAATAATAAGAAGTTTGTTGCAATGAAGAAAGTACTGATGGAAAATGAAAAAGAAGGAGTAAGTTTGTATCACATAATGGAAATGCCTTACTTAATGTGTTTCCTTAATATGTGTTACATTTCATGAAATATTATCGTAGTTCCCTATTACGGCGTTACGAGAAATAAAGATATTACAATTGCTGAAACATGAAAATGTCGTAAATCTTATAGAGATTTGTAGGACACGAGGTAA